ATTTTTAATTGAAATTTCCTGTGGCAAACATATGTAAATATCGATATAACTGAATGCAGAATTCCTACTGAAAAAACTCTAAAATACAAGTAATCTGACTACGTGGCTATATAAGTAATTAACATGCCCAAAATTATAATGTGTCATATATATAATGTATTTATACACAACTATCAAGAACGTTTTTTTTCTTTTTTCTTTGGTAGATTATATAATATTATATTATAAGATTATAATATTCTTGTATGTTTGCATGGTGACAGCAAATAAATAAATTAGCTTGTAGGTACACCACGTAAGTATTTAATACTGCAAAGCTTTTGGTCCGTTAACCCGGTTATTCATCAGAGCGATTCATTAATCATGCATTGATGAAGTCCCGGGTTAACGGAACGAAAGATTTGTATATAGTGTTAAATACTTACGTAGTGTACATTCAAGCTAATTTACTTTTTCGATTATACATTGTTTAAAATATTTCAGAATACGGCTATGCGTGCCTATAGTATCTCAACATTAGTGGAACAATTCTGCTACAAACTGCTTTGTTATATAGGTACTGTGTATTTTAAATGTGATTGGTTAATTCGTAGTCACATGACTGTAAACAAAAGCAATGTTTCTCGCCAGGGAAACAAGTGAAAAATTGTTGCCTGCTTCTTGTCACAACAAAGTAAAGTGGGTTTCTTTTTTAAACGGAATTGTTTTGTAACATGTATGTTTTCGTTCCCGTATATAACAAAACACTTAATATACACTACCTCGGGAAATAGTGAGTCTTGTTTTCCCTCGAGTCTCAATGTTTTCCTCGACTTCGTCTCGGGAAATATTCAGACTCTCGGGAAAACAAAACTCACTATTTCCCTCGAGAGCATACATTAAGTGTATAATAGTTTGTTTATCACAGAAGTTACGCGATTTTTGTTGACTTCTAAACTTCCACGTCGCGGGAGCAGCCCGCCTCGGTTGAAATTATTATAGTCTGTTTTTTGGGTTTATCGTCCTCACATTGCTGTCCTGTAGTATAACGAGTACGTTCAGTAGTCTCCGAAACTGGAACAGCATCCATGATATATTTAACTAGTCCTCCGTTGTTTAAGCGTTCAGGATTTCTCTCTTTGATAGGCACCAGAATGACCGTTCCTTTGGAACTTTCGTCCGGTGGAGCCGTTGATATTTTAAACAGTTTGAAGTAAAAGGTCTTTAGCTCTTCCTCAAGATTTTCTTTTATCACGGCTGTTGCGTCTGCCAGTTCCCCCATTAGCCTTAACGTTTGTAATGGCTGACTGACGTTTTGTATGGCGAAACACTTTTCGTCGCGTTTGTTGACCCTGAGGCGATATACAGAGAAACAAGAATATGCCCTACTTTCGTTGCCAGAAAGTTTTTCAATTTTGTTGTCAACGAGCTCCAGATTGTCATTTATGCTGCAACCAAGTGATACGAGCAACAGCAACTTATTGGAAGACAGATCAGGAAAGTTGTGCGGTGTTTTACATGCATGAGTAAATTCTAGTGATGACCTTATCACACAGTTTAAATAGTAATTCCATGCCATGATTTGAGCTGGTTTTGTCTCGATTTTGTTTATGGATTCATGTAGGAATATCTCAGATTGTGTGTTGTCTTGGAGAAAGTACATAACGAGTGGCCAGACGCCGATCCCGCCGACGATAAAAGGAATATACTTTAAAATGAAATGAGATTTATCGTCCATTACGTAGATCAAAAGGGAGCATGCAAGCGACACGAGTAAGATAAATAGTAGCAGACCCCAATTTATTCCGCTGAAGCAAGCTTTTACCATTTTTACAATTCGTCCCTCATAGCGCTCGTCGATGCAGTGATATTCGTCAACGATGAGCACCAAGTGACCGAAGACTGTGCCTATTACAATGCCAAGTAATTCTACCATCATTGCCATAATGATAGACAAATCCAAAGGTTTTTCCCAGGTTTCCCCATTACTGTGATTTTGATGCGGATTGATCATGACACTATAAAAAAACAAAAGTCCAAATGTAATAAATAATGTGCAAACATAAATCGACATAGAATATCTGCTTCTCTTGTTTGATCGAAATTCGATATTCCTTTCCATATTTGCCATTTTGTCGCTTACTAACAAGCGAAACAGAGTGCTCTATAACGCAGAGTGTGACCTTACTTATATTGTATATTCAAATCTCTACATATATTGTTTGCGTGGGGTATTATAAAAATTATTTCTCAGCAGGACAACACAATATTTAATCTGCCGACTAAAGTCCTCAAATTGGAAACCATTAATTACTTACTCACTGGGTGATCTGCTTTTTGAATATATTACAATTGATAATGTGCCCCACCTTGTAAACCGGCGTATCTTGGGATTTCAAAAGGATGTTGTGTCATGATTAGCATTTGGCTATCAATCGAAATCATATAATATATATAAATCGTGTGACAGCATAATTATAGTGGTCGGTTTTATTGTTTGCCGATGCATATGCGCGCCTAACATTATGTATGTAGTCTGACCAATATTCCAACGCACTAAACGTATCCAAGAACACAGACCTTGACCGAACTGGGAAACCATTGTTTTCGACTCGTATGGGCCAACTCGGAGCGAAGATTTTGAAGATGATAACGTTCTTCAGTATAAAATGTAGTTAATCTGACATTGTTAGCGTGTGTAGAAGGTTAGCGTGTGTAGACAATGAGCCGGATTCACATTATGAGATATTTCTCACCGTCCAGCCAGAAAGTTTGTTTCAGAAATTGTATGCGTCTGAGTTGTATTTGAGCATTGGAAATAGCTAAAAAAAGACCCGGCAGATTCTATGTTGGTCTTTGGTCGAGTCCTGGATAAATGAAATAAAAGCTAGATAGCCGTAAGCTAGAGCTAAACGAAGCTAGATAGCCGTATCCATCGATTTTTTTCAAGTATTATATGGCGGTTAAAAAATTCATTAGCGAGTTTGAGCAAGGCAACGAATAACGCAGACGAAGACGTGTTTCAGCCGAAGTAGACTGGGAATAGTAGTCTTCGTCTTAAGTCTTCGTGCAGCGGGATATTTGAATTGAGCAGTTCTGTCAAAGTTATACGACTACGAACACGGTACTAATTTTGTAAACATGAACAGAACTGAATACGAGATGGCTATTTTTAGCAATGTTTTCAAAAGATGCTTTTGGAAGTGGAAGATGTTATGCTTGTTTACGCTTCTTTACGATGTTTATAAGCATCTCAAACAACATTTATATTCCATATAAGAACTATTCAAGATTTGACTTGAATATATCTTACCTTGAAAACTTTGTTCTGACCACAACGAACTTTGTCAAAATATTCGTCCTAAACCAGGACAACAGGACGAAGACGTTAAGCTCTCACCGATGACCCTAATGCGGAGTATGCGCAAAATGATGCGCAGACATTAAAAAAGTGTGAAGTTTGTCTTCGTCTTCGCACTTCGTTGCCTTGCTCATTGCTCAAACTCCCTATTATCTGGCGGATGGCGCCATTCAACCTTCCGGCTGACTTGTGCCAAGAGTTTAGAGTTGTTGTCTCTCTTACCATGCACCTTAGCTTAAGTACACGGTTCCAATGATTTAACGAAGGCATATTTACACCTATTTACAAGCCACCGTTAACCGTTAAAGTTTTTATTACGTTTTGTTTACGTTTCAAACTTTAGAGTTTAACATGAAACGTCGAATGTTAAACTATAAACCAATCAGGGGCGTAGGAAACATCCAGAGATTGGGGGGAGCACTAGCTTACAGGGGCACTTTTGGTTACTAAAAAGGACAGCTGAAAATATGTATAGGAACGGTTTCATTGCCAAACCTGCAAGGACATCACTACTGTGGTTTATATTTATGCTCTACTAAACGATTTGGGTTGTGTTATTTTAACAGTTTTGACATGTCGCGTTCATTCTGTTGTATGTAATACGCAGCACCGTTAGCTGCCATATAGTCTGTAAGTAGATCATGCGTTGCTAAATGATATTTTTGGGGAACTTGCTATCTAAAATTTACATCAATTTACAACCTTTTCCGACCTTTTATAGTTTCTTGAGAACCCAATTTTTAGTCAAAATTTAAAAGCAATTAATTTTTAAATTTTGGAGCAAGTGTTTAGAAAATTTAGAAAATCTAGAGAATTTGTCTAGCCTATAGCAGACATCCTAAATCTCCATGGTGACATTAACTCCGTGTTCACGTGTCTTTGGATAAATGCCACTGGGGACGTTTTGCTCGCTCAAAAAGAATGATAAAATAAAAATAATAAAATAAAATAAATAATTGGGTTTCTAGTTGAGGCGAGATGCTTTGTGTGCGTGTATATATAGACCAATTGCATATGACGTCACACAGGGATCTTGGGACGGATTGAGCGTGGCTCACAAATCACAAAAATTTTCGAGTCAGCCATATGAACTACGGCGTACATAACAATTCCTTTCAATAATGCGAGGAAAACTTTCAGGGGTTATGACGTCAGTGCAATGTCTATATGTTTTTTATGCGCTTTTTAAATACTCTTTCACTCAAAGTGGAAGTTAAGACAGTAAGTGAACAAACGATTTGTATACATTTTGAGCTTCATATACTTTTAAAATATGATGTTCTGTCTGAGAATCTAACACTATTTAGAGTAAATGAGTACAAATTAATTCTGGCTTCCAGTCAAGAAAATTAAGCGTATCGGACAAAAAAGTTTCTTTTATCCTTGTCTTCTGAAGCAAAACTAAATTGTCTTATAAGCAAAAGAAATCATATTGTCTAAACTGGAGGATAAACCGGAGGATAATTTCCCTGACTGGAGACCAGCCCTTAAAGTTTATGCTCAGAAAAATTCAAAACATTCTAAATTTGGGCAATTTTTACATCATCTTCACATTGTTATGAGCAGAACGGATGCGCAGAACGGAATTGACTTCCACTTCAATATGTCAACAATGTTACTGTTTTATGATATTCATTAATACGTTTCTGATATCCAACCCTTAGCGTTTTTTGCTGTTTTGATTATTGTAAAAATTCTCCTCAGTTGTTATCTTGGGTGGTTCTGTGACTATGAAATTTGAAAATTTAAAAAGATTTCCATTGTTCAGTTGAAATTCAAGGACGGAGGAAGACCCCCCACTAAACGATAAAACATCCAGTTTTACTTGTTCTAATATTAGAACGCTCAAAATTGTCGATATAATCGTGATATATTTCTTTCAAATCCTGCTTCCTTTCAGCAATTTCAAAATGAGCGAGAAGATGTCGGCCATCTTGGATTGATTATAATGACCTCATTAAACATCGTTTTTATGCCGAAAGTGAATTACAACAATAGAATGTCATTGACTGGCCAGAGCAGCAGAAAGTCGTACACAATGCGAAATAACAGGGAGGGGGGAGGGGAGAGGGAGGATTCTCTTCTCCCCCTCTGTTCTTGGCTGGATAACGCATGCTAGCTATTGAATTCGATTAACCAAATTAAGCACAGACGTTGAAACGACAAACGGTACGAAAACGATTCCGAAATGAACAACAGTACCCAGGTTGTCAATAGTTTAGAAATTCAGGAAGACTGGAGCTATGGGGCAGGGGTGGGTGAGGCAAAAGAGACAGCTGTCTTCCTACCTATTACGAGCAGAGAGGGGCTAAAGACACCCTTCCTATTATAAGCATTTGTTATTATAAGACACCTTGTATAGGTGAAAACAAAATGACACGAAATTCCACTGCTGAAGTTTTTGTGAATATTTTGACAAATCAGAAGTGGCCTTTCATGAAAATCTGCTTCCCTTGGCATGTCTGCAGGGCCCTGTTAAAAGCCGAAGTTTCCGTCTTATATTTGGCCTTCGAGAAAAAATTTTTGAAACTGGGTGGAGATTTCTCGTTTAGCGGAGTACAATGCAACTTACCTTGTTCATTCGTACTATCAGTAGGAGCGGCAGAATTATGTTTGGGCTATAAAGAAGGAACACATTCTATCTTTAGTATAGGTGTTTATAATCCATACGATTTGAATATAATAAATAATTTTGAACTCATGTGAATGAATATCTAACCGTCCCCCCCCCCCTCTTCAAAATATCGCTTAATGCATGACGTGAAACCACCATTGCTTATCACAGACAATAAATCGGTAGTTGCAGCTGGTAGATTCATTCAGATGAAGTTACTCAAGTGGAGCAAAAACATTCCAAACCTTTCGAGATTTTAGCAATCTCGTTAAAAGTATTTAGAGATTCCTAGAAATATGTGAAATTTATGGAGATTTTTGACTAAAGATGTTTTTGAAATTATAACATATCAATCATAACACAGTCACACATATCAATTCCCTTCGTGTTAAAAATGGCAACTTACTTCATCAACAATGGAGTAATAGCTCCATTCACCGACAGCATCATCACCTGTCAGCAATTCACTCAAATATCCACTTAGTTGGCAGTTTTTCATGTGCTCGTCATTTCTCAGTCTGTAACTAAACCCAGTGCAAACCGTGTTTCTAAGACAACGCAACGAGCAATCGACGACAGAATTCTCACTGTAACTTGAGATGACATTCTCGAAATGCAGAGCTGCGTTTCCTAAACACAGATGATAACTTTAACCATTCATATATTTGGGCCATCTTATTTCAGATGACTTTTATATCCAAACTCAGTTTCTTGTCAAAAAGGTCGAAAATTTTAACTTTAAAAAGGTGTCGAATATGTGGCCAGTTCAGTACAATTGAATTCAATATACATCTGTAGGGCTAAGCTGTGCCGCAGAAAGGAAACATGGATTGGCTACTACTGCGTATATAGGAACAATTTACATTTTCCAATCTCACAGAAATTCCATACAGGATTTGAATTTTAGTAACAAGGGGTAAACCCTAGATATTCCATCTTGCAATTTACCAGTAATTTAACCCAAACAGTCAGTGGCGTACGGGAGACGATAATTGGAGGGGGGGGGATTTCATATATTCATGTTGTGCTAGATTAACTTCTTTTCAAATCCATCGTCCTTACAGGTCTGTTAACATGAATATATGAATATATGAATATGTGCCCCCCCCATTATCGCCTCCCGAACGCCACTGCAAACACTGAATGCAATTAACATTCGACTTAGCGACTTATCGTTTTCTGCAATATTTATTGGACAGCGGTAAAGGTCATGTGAGACAGTTGATATTCAGTCTATATAACAGTATACCATCGGAGATTTTTCTGTAAAATACAGTCTGACATGTTCCTTCGGTCTCCGACGTCAACACCAGCGTCGACAGCGACAACACGATAGCGATGAATAAACGTGATGAGACGTCAATCATGTTCACTTCGTAGAGGGAACCAGAACGACATAAAATTGGTGAAGAAAAAAGGTTTCTCGAATTACTGCTGGTTCTAAAAACTGTTGGGAAACAGGGAAAACTGGGAAGAACTGCGGTCTACACTATGGAACAGTCTACCATGCCTCTGTGTCGGAAAGCGAGACGTTTTTGATGATGAAGTAATACTGTAATAGAGCTGAAAGTTTGTTTGTATACAATTTTGAAAAAAGTTAGGCATGTACAGGGTGTATAAAAAAAAACGCAACCACTTATAAATAATATTCATGAATATCCTCTTTGTTCTACAACACAAAAGGCGTTTGGCCCCTGGAATGCGAGAAAGCTTATAATCATATTCTAGCGGCACAATCGTCGGTAAACAAAGTCGGGTGCGTAAACCAACGAGCTGAATTGAAAGTATTTAACGAGTAAAATGTTATTTACAATTTATTTTACAAGGTCGACAGTTAGCATTCAAGTTATCATGCACGACAATAAAAACTCGTTGTTCGGTTGTTATCTACACCATTATTAGTTTAGCTGATTTGACCATTAGCAGTTGAACTGTGCGATTAGAAGCCATTTTAAAATCCCAGGGGCATAAAATCTATTGAGCTTATGAACAATATGAATTTTAGAATATTAAGTGGTTGCGTTTTTTTTTATACACCCTGTATAGCTGGACTTATATATGGTGCTCTGTTAAGTGAGTTTTGCCTTTTTTTATAGTTTAGGTTCCAAGACAAAGGAAGTCGCATTTACTGTAAACTTTAAATTTTTTTCAGGCAGCCCAGCAAACAATTAATGATGGTTCGTTAGGTTATACGTCATTTATTCAGTGTATTATAATAACCTAAGGGTGGCAACTCTTATGAAACACAACTACATTACATTCGCTTGAAACAAAAAATATCGCAGAGTAATACAAAAAAACTAGAGAAAATGAACTTCAATATCTCTTCTACATTTGTAGAAAGTTTTAAATCAAAAATGGTTCCAAAAATACTGAAATTTCTAAAAAATGCTAAAATTTCAATATTTTTCGAACCATTTTTTCTTTAAAAACTGTTTACAAAATGTAGAAGAGATATCGAAGTTCATTTTCATCTAGTTTTTTTGCATTTTTTATGTTTCAAGCGAAGTATAATAACGTATGTATAGGTTAATAGGGAGCTTTAGCAGTAACTACGAGTACGACTACAAGTCTACAAGTACGAGTTCATCATTCTCGCGAGTTGTTTGCTTATGCCATGAGCCAAAACTCGTAGCTAGTCGTCGGATTTTTGAGTAATTTTGAGTACGATATTTTCCTAAAAACTCGTACTAGCCGAGCTTGCGAGTACGACGAATCGTACTCGTTTGGCGAGAATGACGATTCTCGTACTCGTAGTCGCTTCTAAAACTCCCTATTCCCTGTTATAATACACTAGTGAACTCAAATAAGACTGGAACGCTAGCTCTCTGACTTTCCCTCATACGTAAAATCCTCGATCTCGAACTTTGAAAATCGGCTACATCAAATAACATCACATTATCACTCACCGGCTTCATAAACTGATGTCTTTGAATCCTCTAGCTTGTTAAGCTGAAATTAAGTTGAAAATTAGATATAAATGAGTAATTGAGAGCATCTGTTTTGGGTTATCATTTCAAATGAGTCTCTGCAATCGGTGACAACCTTATTATACTTGCAATAATTGTCAATATATCGCCAATTTTTCGCGGCAAAATACCAAGTCAAATATATAATACGAGAACCGAGATTGGCTAAAAACGAGAACAATATTATACTTCTGAAGGTTTGAATGATTACAATTTGAAAAGTAGTATAGGCTATTGAAATATCAGTACTTAAATTAGCGTCAATTGATTAAATTGTGACAATTCGTCCATATTTTCTGCATTTGATTGATTAGTATATCGGTTGTCAATTAGAATTATTTGATTTTGCATTTTGAAATTGTGTGTGTTAAGGCGGATTTCCACTTACAGCGAAATCGTTCGTTAGAGAAATATTTGCATATTTTCTTTTGAATTGAGAACAGTCAAGTCAAACTAATTTATTTATGCTGTTAAAATTCAAAAGAAAATATGCAAATATTTTGCTAGCGAACGATTTCGCTGTAAGTGGAATCCGCCTTTAAGCCCGAAAATTAACTTGCCGAACTTAATTAAAAAATAACAAGAATATTTTCTGTTTGTAACAGATATCTTTTGAACTGCATCTGTTGCTGAGTTGTAATAACTTCAGAGCCTAATCAGAGGTTATCGTGGAGTCGTGGAAACATATTCCGGTGAGGTTTTCGCCGATTACGACAACCCCCCTCCCCCAGAAGGTAACGCGTGTGGCCGTTTGTAATGACGGACGCGAAACGCTTTCCGTTCAGCAAACAAAACGGAATTGAGCAGTTTAACCGCCCGTGCTGCAAATCAGCTGCGCTGAAAGACAGATAGCCTTTACATCCATCATCTGTCAGGCTGAAATATTGCATTGAATGAAACAATTGATGTTGGACTATACGGTGATATGCACATGCGTGGGACAGTTGGCGGCAGGGGCTTAAGCCGGTTTTCCACTAGCGATATTTTTCGCGCGAATCGGCAATTTACTCTTGTTCCAGAGCTCTCAACTGCAACCATCTAGAACAAATTGCTCAAATACAAAGGAATAAAGTCGCTTCGCACGAAAAATATCGCTAGTGGAAAACCGGCTTTAAACTTGGCTAGTACGTACGTCGGCAGTCGGAAATGGCCTCTTCAGTTAAGTGACATGGTTGAACATAAAATTAACTCTCTTGTCGCATTTTCTATTAGTTTCTCTTATTTTGTGGGCGAGAACCACTTAGCACGGAACAATATTTGTCCCATCCGGCCACCGGTTAGTATTGATGGTGCATGGTTACGAAAAATAATGATGATTTTCCGACATTTTTCATAGAGATGGCTGCCGGGAAAACGCACTTTAAACCTTGAGACTTGTAACTTTGTGCCACATTCGTGACTTTCCGCGCCCGACGTAAATTTGTATAAGGTTGGTAAAGCAACAGGCACATTTATATTAGGAAGTTTCTTTCAAAAAGCAGGGAATTCCCAGAACTGAGAATGTTACATGTGAAAAGAAATGCCTCCGGTTACTCCCCCTGGGTAATGATCCAATTGTATAATTTTAATGAACAATTCACGCGAACTAAAAGGGGGGGGATACAAATTATGCATCTGGTGCAGGATTATTATGTTTTCAGCTAGCATTTCAGGCGATAGTTTCCTGTATTAAATGCTATTAAACGATGGCCTACGTCTTTCTTAAATTGTTGAATTCTGTAAGTCGATTTAGGCGGTTTTGGAGTTAAAAGTATCAGAGAATTTAGTTTGAAGGTCAAATGACTATATATGTGTGTTTGACAGCATGGCGCCTTCAAAGACGGGCCGATACAATATTATGTACAAGTCATGACACAGTTGACGCTGACAGGAGGTATCTTGCGATCATAATACACACTAGTGTTTAAAGTGGACGTAAAGCAAATACGATGTTCTGCTCGTGAGTTATTAAAATACCAACTTTACATTTGTCAACGCGGCACGGATATTTTAAGTTCTACAAATCACAACACGATGTGGAAGTGATGTATCAATTGAACATGTTCTAAAGAGTTGAGTTCACTGCGTCTGTTGTTAGATTGCTAATGATGTCGGCATTATCTGACAAATTATATTGGGTTGTTATGAATGTCTGTTCGACATATAATCGAACCTCGCATAGGGCTCGTGATTCGAGTTAATACATGTTCAAATATGTCCTTGCCTTAAGTGTTTAAAGAGGAATTACTAAAGCTTATCCTTTCTTGTCTGTGGTAATTGTGTTGATTTGTGCACTTTCAGGTCCTATAATTGCCTTGTGGAGTGACGAAACCTGTGCGAATTCTCCTAAATGTTTCAAACTTCATGTTCATGTGGAGAAGAATGCTTATATATTGGTATAAATGATAGCCAAAAAGGTACATATATTCTAATAATAATCACGATACTAGCTAGTTGACATGTGTAAAATACAGTAATTGTGGTTGTTCATAACATTAAAATTACAATTCATTGATTCCCTCCATTCATTGATTCCCTCCTCAACATCAAAGGGTTACATTTTGAAATATGTTGTGAGAATTAATTTAAGGTACAAGGTTAGGTACATTAAGGCTACAAAATTAGCATATAGTACATTAAGGGGTTAGGACATATAAGTAAGGAAAGTTATAAATGTTTGAAAACTACATAATGTCACATGTCTGCAATATGAACAGAGTTGCATATATACACAGATGTAAGCTTAACTACACCTAGATTTTAAGCAGTGGTCTACCTATTTTAGGATTATTATCTTGCTTGTTCGACCTAGTGCAAGTCTATGAAAATAACTTGTGAATAGCCTGGCAATGAAAGTTAACTCTTAATACATGCATTATGCCCATTTAGTATTTTTGCACAAGTGAATGTAACAAATCCTAAATTACTTGCCTTTATTATGTATAAGCAAAGACTGATCATTTTTGCTCAAATTTTATTCTGTATTTATTAGTCATTTCAGATCTTCTGTTTTGCTTGAATGACCTGAAACAAAGGGAGCCACATGATGAAGGCATTGATTTTCTAAATGCATTTTTTCAAGCACCGCAAGTCTCATCCTTATTGGAGGTAGGTTATTCCCAGATGCAGAAAAGCTTTGTTTACACTAATGACTAGGATTTTGTATATCAACTAGATTCATACAGTCACAACTTTCTTTGGCCTGAGGGGTGTCAGAATAACCTGGGAATAGCTGGCAGTAGCTGCCCACTTATGGGAGTAGAAGGATGCAGCCATGTGCCCTTTGCTACCATGTAATAGTGTTGTATATACACCATCTTCTACCATCCTCCCCTGTGTCCTGGCAATGCGTGGGACTTAGATTCAATTTCTGCACGAGGGTTGATGGTTGTGAAAGAGTTAGAATGTACCCAAGGCTTTTTGAAATGACAAATATTTGAGACAAATGCCAAATGAATGGATATAGATTCATTTCTACTTTAATGATTTCACAGAAACATCTTGACAGTACACGCTTTGACTTGCTTGTCTCATGTTTCTTCTAGATACATGATAAATTGGAAAATCGAAGCAAACCTGCCGGCCTGAATTTTACACCAAACTTGCAGAATCTTATATACGAAGTATGTATCTAAATTAACAGGAAGTCTGTGTTATGGATTCAATAATAAAATACCTAAGACAACCAAATTTAATTAACAAGCTTCAATTTAATTAAAGTTGATTTGACAAAAATCAAACCTTGACCGGCTATAAGCAAGCAAGAGATGTATATTTATATCTCCACTCATAAACCTGGAATTTTTCTGAAACATGGATACCTATATAAGGCAATATATTGAAGACTTCGGGTTCTTCGATCACTTCAGCGATAGGCATCAGTATTAGTCAGTCTGTTGAGAGCCTGTACAATTTATGGATTCTATTTAATCTATGCTACAAAACTTTTTTACATTTCTGAAATTATCCTTGCCTATTATACTAAAAAGATGACCAAAGTTCTCCCACTTGTTCTGTGGGCTGGGTCTTTATCTAGCTCCTATTTGTCATATTTCAAAGGCTATCAAAAACCCTTTTGTAGATTCACAGCATTTTAACACTGAAACCATGTATTAGTCCAGAAGCAAGTGAATTAACAAGAATATTTCAAGGGCCTCACTTTCAAGTAAGCGCTCCATCATTTATGTGTGATATCATCAAATTAACTAATATTAAATACACTAATCCATTAATTTTGTAATCTCAGGATTTTCCAACCTCGAAATACCTAGCTAGATGTACGTAAAACACGAAAGATTTATTTAGTTTCCTAGAAATTTTGTGTAGCTTCTAATAGACCTTTTCGGTAATTACGTGACAACATTATCCAGCTGATCTGAGATCATGGCATCATAAAGCGTCTCGACAAAACTTAGTTATCATGTGCCTGGTGTCATTTGTCCTTATTCTTCCAACTAATAGTATAAGGAGTGAAAAATTTAAATTCTAATTTGCAGTTGGGAAAAAATAAACGTGTTTTCACATAAATACAATGAAATAACTTGATATTTTCGAGTGTCGAAGTCATATGCAATGAAGGAAATGATAATTCACTTTTGTCGAAGATCTGGCTTCTGATTGGTTGATTTTTATACCCAGATCAGCTGGATCCTTTTAAATTTAGAGCCACCACGTGGGTCGTGAGAGTAAAACTTGAAATCCTTTTCATTTAAGATGATTCTAAATTTAAAACGTTGTGATGTTAAAATGTTGTGACGTGACTACCGAAAAGGTCTATTGTATTTTAGCTTGTCCCGTACTAATAATAGTACCATCACAATATTAATTCACTGTATATTTTCGGAGCTAGTTGTTTAAAAGCTGGTCAGCTAACCACCCAAATTTCTTAACGTCAATTTTTTTATTCGCTTATTTATGAAGATTGAAGACTGAAGTTAAATCTCTTTTTCCCTAAACGCTTCTAGATCATGAAATCTTGTTTTTTAAAGTTTTGAAACGAACAGCGTTGCCAACCGGCCCAAATGCATGTCAAATTTCCTTTATTGAGTAAATTAACTGATAATTGCACCGAACACACTCAGTTTGTAATTTTGCAAATTTTCCCGCCAATTTCCAGGCTTTTGTTTTAGTCCATGATCAGGTTTCAGGCAGATTGTTTGAAAAGTGTGTTGAAAGTGATACCGAGGATGACGTGAATGTTGATATCGGATCAATTCGGATTGTTCGTTTAGTTAAACAAGAACAAGAACCATTGGTATGTTTCGTTATTAATGCAACCTAGTCTGTCGCAAACAGTCTTGCATACATTGTCTATATTTTCCTCGGTATCAATACTATCATGTATTTTCTAGGGCATAACCGTCCGTCATTGTCCTGCCAAAGGTTGTTGTATAATCACAAGGATTATTGATGGTGGAACTGCTAGCCGAAGTGGTAAGAGAAACTATTTCTTATTTGGGAATTAAAGACCCTGATATACGTTGCCAACCTTGTCCCCAGAGTCTTCTGTGTCTTCTTTGTTTTCTTGGTTGCCTCGTACCCTCGCGCTTCTTGTGTACGCAGAAGACCCTGGAGACGAGGTTGATACGTTGCAATATTTCTTGGAACTAGCAATGCAATTCTACATTTAAGAGATGTAAATTATAGAAGAGTCTTCAAAATGTAAATTTAAGAAACGACCATGGAGTGTAATAAACACAAAAGTTTGGTAGTTGCCAAATTTACATTTCCCAAAAGAACAATTGCATTGCAAGGTGCGGCAAAAACCGTTGCACCTAGTAAAGGCCGCTTTAAGGCTCGTTTACACTTAAACGTATAGTAATTTACGAATGCTCTGATGTGTAAGAAGTCCTATTTGAACTTCCGTGACTAATTCACTCGTTCGCATCTATCAAAAGAAGAAAAACGCACACAAAATCGCAGCAAAGATTGCAATTGCAAACCGGTCTTAGCAGGGCCTTAAACTTGAGCCCATTTAATATGGTAATAATTCTATCTTCATCATTCCTAATCTTGAGATTAAGTTATGATTAGGGTTAGATTAAGATCCCAACCCTATCCTAGCCAAATCCTCGGGATTAAATTGGTGTATTCAGGAATTACTGAACAAGGAATTCTTACCATTATAATAGCGACGTCTCATAATGCTTTCGCGGGAAAATCCAGACATGAAATTTGATTGGCCCGAACAACGGTTTGCATTATTACCGAGCCAGTCAAACTTCCTGTTACATCATCAAGCCATGAACTGACTAGCTATTTTTCCCTCTATAATTCTTGTCCATTTGATTTTCTCGCGTGTGCGACAAACCTCTTCTTGTTTGGCTGAACAGTATTTCTTGTTTATAAACTGTCATGGCCAGGTTTTCATGCAAGCGAGCATTTTAAAGAATATTTATCGCTTTATCTTCCATGATAATTGTACATTAGGTGCCTTAGAGGTTGGGGATGAAATATATGAAATAAATGGAGTTAGTGTGAGTGGATCTCGGATCGAAGATATTCTGACACTTTTGGTAAGTTTTTTGGTGTTTAATCATGCCTACATGCATGAATACAATAAATTCTGTTCAAATCCGCTTTGACTTAGTGCTAGCAAAATGTCATCACATTTTTAAACATTGATTAAATATATTTTCACTTTGCAAGCCGGACTAATCGTTCAAAATAATACGAAGTGATGCGTTTTGATTGGTTTCTGAGCGGCTGGTAGCCTGCAGTATAGAAACTGCTCAGTTTTGGCGGGAAATTTTTATTTTGAGACTTTCGAGTTCCGTTGAGGCTCCGTAAAGCAATCTTTAGTAATAAACAAATTGCGTTTTATTATTTGAAAAAAAGGAATGCTTTGGGGCAAAAATCAAACGTTAAAAAGTGTTTCAGTGACCTTTCTGTTAGAATCAAATTTGTGTCGTTGTTCCTAATATATTATTTCCTATAACAAGCCGCAAGCTTGATCAAAAGTACTCACGAACATTCCTTAATTTATATACTTTAGCATTTTTCCATAAGTAGCGTGGCGCTTAAAGTCGTTCCCGCGTTGGAGGTTATCAGAACACTGCCGCGTGAAAATAAGGTTAGTAAGATTGTGAAGTTTCGTAGCGATATAATCTAAAATACCGAAAATATAAACTTGCGAAGTTTTGACACTGTTTTGACTTTAGACACTGTTTGTAATCTACATTATAAGCGCCAGTGAACTACAGGGTGTATCAAAAAAAACGCAACCACTTAATATTCATGAATATCCTCTTTGTTCTACAACACAAAAGACGTTTGGCCCCTGGAATGCGAGAAAGCTTGTACTGATCATATTCTAGCGGCACAATCGTCGGTAAACGAAGTCGGGTGCGTAAACTAACGAGCTGAATTGAAAGTATTTAACGAGTAAAATTTTATTTACAATTTATTTTACAAGGTCGACAGTTAACATTCAAGTTATCATGCACGACAATAAAAACTCGTTGTTAGGTTGTTAGCTGCACCATTATTAGTTTAGCTGATTTAGCAGTTGAACTGTACGATTAGAAGCCATTTTAAAATCCAGGGGGATAAAATCTATTGAGCTTATGAACAATATGAATTTTAGAATATTAAGTGGTTGCGTTTTTTTTGAGACACCCTGTATACACCCTGTATAATATACAGGGTGTCCCAAAAAAACCCGAAAACCATTGAAATCACTCATTGTTAAAATTTGAATGCCGTGTTCACGAATTTCAACCCGTGGGGATTTAATGCAACTTATAAAATGCTAAATGCTTTGTGTTGCTAGAGAAAGGGGACCTGTCGAAGGTCATGGTCCTTGAGTTGCACATTTAAATATTGCTGTCCATATTTGTAAATTGTAAATATTGTTAATAAATATCATTTTTGCGAACAAGCAAATTTTACTGCATCGTATGCATGCATAAAAATGACTATGGTAAACATTTATACACCTGTGGGTCCCAACAGAGTGCTTAGGCTCGGTTTTTTTGGGACACCATGTATAGGAGAGTTTGCTAGCTATTAAGCACAGAAAAGGCTACCACTTCTTGAAACGTGTCTTTATAACGTTTGTTCTGATAGAAGTATTGCCTCGTTACCAATTTTCTGTGTTATATTTCAGATGTTTCATGTGAAATGTCATTTCGCATACAATCCACGCCATGACTCGTTGCTGCCTTGTCAAGAGGCTGGCTTGGCTTTTGGAAAGAACGAAATTTTACATGTATTTGATCGCACTGACATCTGGTGGTGGCAGGTAATTCCCGCTATTTCTGATTCCACCTGGTAGATTGGGGTCACAAAACATTATGAACACCAAAAATAGACAACATTTTAGTTACTTATTTATCCATGTTTATACACTAACTTTCAGTCATCGTCATGCAGGTAAAAAAACTTGCCAGGTTAATGTTATTATCATCTTTTGGAGTTACCATGCATGCATTGTTGTTTTGTGTGTCTTTTTCCGATCGGCTACTTCTGAGTGGCAGTTTAGAGGAAGAGGGCTGGTATAATAGCATCAAATGAGGCGGTTTTAGGGAAGTGTTTTTATCCATGACCTTAAAACGTTCCTTGGTGCGTGGTAATCCCACTAACACCACTCCTTTAATCTTGATATAATATAGGCCAGGAAAGTGGGATGCCGCTCAAAGACTGGTCTTATTCCAAGTCAGATATTACAGGAAAGGTAGTTAACATCAGCCAAATTTTGCCACAACTGGTTTGTAAATAAACACTAGCTGTGTACAAAATGACAAAATGTAAAATTATACTTGGTTGCGTTTTAGGAGACTGTACAAAGCATATCTGGAGAAAGCATTAAGCAAAAAATGGCCGTGTGACAAACGTGAGCATATACCTTAAAAGAAATGGTACTGCAATCTATAATTACTTAAGGCCGTTTTCCACTTCAACCGTATCGTAGCGAAACGTAGCGCATCTCATTGTTTTAAAGGCATTAGTTCTGGTCGAATACTTCGGAAACAAAGAAATACGCTACGTTAGGTTAGGATACGGTTTAAGTGAAAAACAGGCCTAATATCAGCAGGTAATAACTTGTAACTTCCTTAGGAAATTTTCAACTACCCAAAACTAAGAAAAAAAAGTGCAAGAAGAGGAAAATCATGTACTCATCTAAATACACCAATTGTAAGTTGAATCGTAAGTTTTACCCCACGGGTCCTCACCAACCTCGACAACTGTAGTGGGTTTACACGAGGGGCATGTATAGTGGGAAAGTCGCTACAGCGGAGATTCTGTAAAATTCCGACAGTAAAAATAACGTTAGTTATTGAGAGACTTAAGAAATTTTTGATATGAGTTATGGAGTACATTAGTGATAAACAGTTGGTATTCTTCAGCTAAGACTAAAACGTGCCGACATATTGTCAAGATAAAGACTCGTCTGAACCGTTTAAATAGTACATTTTACGCGCTGCATGCTGTTTAAAATATATAAATTATAAATTATAAATGTGTATGAAAAGATTAAACCGTAATGACCATGCAAAGATAAAGACACTCTATCGTGTTTAGATTTTGAAACGGTCTCGATCCTCGCTTACCAGGAAGTGATCCAATTGACGCCGCCAGTTGACAGGCCAAGACCTGTGGTTCTAGTTGGTAAGCCAGTCCTTCCACTGGTCTCATAAACACTGGATAGAGCAACTATACCTATTGAAACAGGGCTAGTAAACTAGCGGTGTTAACAAAGTTTGATAGAAAATTATGAAAATCTCTTCAAGAACTTTGAAGGCTCTTCCCAACACCTGACGTTAAAACATTTTTTTTTCCCGAAGGACCTCGTTTTGTCGGCCGGAATGAACTTCGTCGGTTGTTGATTTCAAGCGATCCCGAGTCATTCATAACACCTGTGAACTGTGAGTAAATATTCAAAATTGAAACGAATTGTGCGCAGACATGCCAACTGACCTGTAAATTTTCTTGCCTAATAGTTGTGAGCTAAGTGATCTAATGTGATCTTAGCCAACTTCTCAGAATCGCTATATACAGAAACATGTCAAGTATAATATTGCTGATCTTGAATTAGATCGTATTGTGATAGCGTTACTCTGAGTACCAACCGGGATTTTTTTCCAGCTCAGAGTGGAACCATCACAACATTAATTCACCTAAAGCCCCGTTTACATGCACTACACTCGATTTATTGGGTACCCATTTCATCTATGCTCGGCCTTTGTTTTCGGCCACCAATTTTAGCCGTGCCGTCCCGATAAATTGAGTGTAGTGTAAACAGGGCTTAAGTAATACACACTAGCTGTCGTATTATAAGTTCGTTCATTTGATGGGAATACTAACTACTTTAATAAAAACCTATACACCGAATTGTGGCAGAATTCTTTCACCTCTCAAGACAGTTTTGCAAATTTTAACCATGCATGCACACGAACAAATGAAACTATAAGAGCGTAGCTTGTCTTTTCGTAGGATTGATAAATTAATAAATCACTAGCGTACTTCTAATTTTCATTGCCACACGAAGGCGCAATGGGCACAAGGTTGTGACATTATTTTGCTCCTAGATCCATCTCAGAAAAAGATTGACAAAGAGAACAACAACATCATATACAAAACTGGTGTCGAGAAGTGCGCGACTCCTAGGAATGCATGCAGATCAATTGCCACTGAGTACCAAGGCGAGTTTGAGCATATCTCGATTGAAACAGTCATAACCTTGATGAATTCTGGCAAGTGTTGTGTCATTGTTGTGCCCCCACAGGTAACGATGATTCGAAAAAAACGCTTAAAGTAAACGCTTAAAGTGATTAAAAAACCGTAAAAAGTTCAGTATTAAAGAGACAGTTTAGATAATTTTAAGAACTTTTGCAATATATTTTATAATTCGAAAATTCCAACTTCATTCACTTTGACGGTCTCGAAGTTGGTGATTTTGACGTTTTTATGCTCGACCGTTGGCATGAAAAAACTGGTAAATAATGGATGCGTGACGTCATATCAGGGAGTCACTTAAAAAAACAAAAAGCTATATTATACAAATGATAGTTTTCTTCACGAAGTTTATTAGCTTTTTTTTTCAAGGAGCTCCCAGTCATTCGGACTCGCGAACTTTTTCCTTACGTGGTATTCGTCAAACCTCCATCATTACAAAGACTTCGTCAAACTCGTCTGATGTCGCGAGTCAAAACCACTTCATTGCAAAATCATAATTCGAGAGTGTTTACGGTAAGGATACATACGTTTGCTAAAAATCTTTCCAAGCATTGGCGATCACAACGCTTAAAGTTTTTCATTCAGGCAAATCAAATGAACTATTTTCACTTCATTTCAAATATCTTCACCTCACCGCCATCTTGGATTGCTCTGGTTTATTCAGGAACAAGGGCAAGCATAAATATACTTCAATAATTGTGTTTGATTTAACAGCTATCTGCAAATATTCAAACAATTTTGTAATTGTCATTTGGCCACTTAGGAGTAGTTTTATACGGTTAATCCCGTTTGTGACGTCATTGACCCAATATGTATCCAAGATGGCGGTCAGGTTACTTGTTTTGGTTTTTCAATAACTGATTTCGTTTTAATTAATGAGGCATTTCAGCTTATTATCGTTTGAATTCAGTGTTTTTGGCGTATGAAAAGTGTGACGTTTGACCTGGACCCCATAACCAAATAACAAAACTCAAAAGATATGATCGATTAAATTGTGCAAAATAGATTTTTCAGTACATGGACAAACATTCTGGGCGCTGATTGGAAAGATTTGCGATATCACGTGGATACTTTTTCGAAAACGTGACTAATATACGTGTACATGGACCGTTGATTTAGAGCGAAAAAAAAACATCGAAAATATTGCTGTTTTTCGTCCCAGGTTACAGAGCTGGAAGATATGATAATGAAGGCAGAGGAAATGGAGCATAAATACGGACATTATTTTGATCTAACGATCATAAATGATGGTCTTCAAGACGCATATGATCGGCTCTACACGGCGGCATATCTCGTTGCTAAGGAACCGCAGTGGATTCCGGTGAATTGGCTAGCTTAGGCTTAGCTGAAGGTATTTCAATAATTGTATGCAATTTGTGAATTGTGAATTGTTTTCCTCAATTTTTTAAGGGTGATACGCGCTCATTGATTCTTTTCTTTCTGAAAACTTTTGGATCAAAATTTGCATTCTTAGTATTAACACATATCGTATATCGTATGCACAAGAGAATTTTCGCGCCAAAATTACAGTTTATTCTTGAATTACAAAAACTCGCTTCATAATGCTCTCATTGGTTGGGGAAATGAAAAATATTAGTTAAGAAAGAAGGAAGTTCTGTTTTTTCTGTTGTAGATAATGTATATGGTATAAACATATTTCGGAGAGGAAAGGTATATTCCATTGAGATGAATCAACCATGCCACTTGCCAATTAATTACCCAAAAATTACCCAATTAAAAATAGTTTTGCACTTTTATACTTTTAGTAAATTTCTCCCTGGGTTTGGCATTTTGGCAACACAAAACATTTTTTGTTTAATTTCTCCCCCGTGGTAGGCGGTGCGTTGTTTGTCGTGGTGGGTGGATACCCACGGAAAAGTTATGACCTCTGCTGACGTCAGTTTTTTTTCAAACACTTAATATTCATCTCTTGATGACCCGTACCCACTCCAGCTTTATTCATCTCAATGGTATATCCTCTCCGTATACATATATTTGGTGACTATTTAAAAAAGGGATACATTGCAGGAATTTATTTATATGAATGGAGTAAATAACGTGTAGAAACATGTACATTATACAAATATGTAATAAAAGTAAAACAATGTGTTTTGGTTACCTTAGTTGTAGAGCCGAACAGAAATCTAAAAAACTAAAGAGCACTCACTTTAATTCCCTTCCCCAGGGTTAATATCATGGTTATATTCCTTACTCATGGTGACGTCAAACGCGGAAGATTTTATGTTACACGAAGTTTGTTTGGCTCGTTAGTTTTTCAAAAATGCCAATCAAAATTAGCGCCAATCAAAATCCAGGCTTTCCGCGAGAATTGTTAGTTCATTGCGATTGGTCAAGCTACAGTTTTGAAAGATTTTGAATTATTTACATAAAGTATTCCATATGCAATACCGCTGATTGATATGTTTCTGATTGCGGACACAGATCACTCAAATTTTCAAGATTTTGAACTTTGAAATGTTTTTGAAGAGTTTGTTTTTGTTTATTTTTTCTTTCACCAAATTGATGGCTTAATATAAATGGCCAGGTTGCAACCTCGTAGAATATTACGGAATGTTGCTTTTTTCACCATAGCCATATTACTGTACATCTTGTATTCAAAAGAGGAAGTACGCCACATAGAACCCGTTGAAAATGTTAACCAACTCGTTCACAAACACAACCATCGACATCGCCCCGCGGAGAAACTTTTTGTGGACGAATTCTGGGTACCCGAGAAAGCCTTAAAAGAGCACGAAAGAGATGGTCAACCTGGCGAAGGAGGGCATCCGGTAGAAACGAGTTCTGAGGATGTTAATAAGAGAGATGAAGCTTATCGTGACTATGGTTTTAATCAGTTTGTTAGCGATAAGATTTCTTTGAACAGAACAATCCCAGACACGAGACCACCTGCGTGAGTATTTTATTACCAATAATATGAAGTGTAAATTTATATGCTATTAACGGGGTTTCATTTAAGAAGTCGTTTATGTTTGATGTCAGTATTAAAATTTAAAATATGCCATTTAATCTATTAATGCATATATACCTAATTAAAGTATATTTGGGTCAAAATATCACTTCAGACACTGAACATAGTTTGTCCTGGCTAGTTGTTTAGACTCATCTTAGGTTCAACTGAATTGTTTTGTTAATCATTTTGGGCTTTTGACTCAGGGTTGATATGTCATCCAAGCATTATTTACTTTTAGTTTTAACAATTAACAATAGACATTTTTGGTTTTTTTATGTTACACAAAGATTTTCACATTCAATGATTATGAGGTGAAGGGTCTATTTCCTTGTTCTCCTGTTATTTGATACTAGGCTGTCATATGACAGGTCCTTAAAAGGTCCTTAACATTGTCCTTACTCCTTAGGCTGTTTAGGTTGTCTTCATTGCTACAGTCCACATATTTACATGGGTACTGTGAGTGCAAAACTATGCCGACTCCACAATTCATAGTATTCTGTATGATCTTTTGCCAATCCAATGCTTTTATTTCAGTTGCAAGTCTTCCAAATATGAAAGATATTTGCTAAAAGCATCAGTTGTTGTGATATTCCATAATGAAGGATGGTCAACATTAATGAGAACTGTAAACAGTGTTTTGAACAGATCACCACCGTCTATGCTAAAGGAAATTGTTCTGGTTGATGATTTTAGTGACAAAGGTTATTAAGCTTAAATATTTTCTATGTGATCCCAGGACATCTTGCTCTTTGAAGACAGTTATTTTCCTCCCAAATCGATAGCAAAACTAGTTAAAAACTGAAGCATGCCTTTCTTGAATATCTGCATGCAAGTGTATATATAATGTAATTACTGATGCATATTATGCATTATTGCATAAAAGGACCAGTTATCTGTTGATTCCTGGATTTTATTTAGTAATGGATAACTAATTGCACAATTGTACCTTAAAAATCTTGAATAGGTACTTTGTCTACAATATGGCCAAACTTTGTACTTTGGATAACCTTGCATTGAACCTGGGAAACATCATTCCTCATAAGCAATTTTGCAAACTTAGAATTAAATTAATTGAACAGAATAAATTATTGTGGGGCTTTACCTTTGGCCTGGACAATTAATCTTCCCTCTACCTCTTATTTTGTCCCCCCACCTCTTATTGCCTTCCCCACCCATATCTTACTTCAAATTCTCATATTTAGATCATTTAAAGAACGAACTACAGTCACATGTCGCTAAGTTGAATAAAGTTCGTTTGTTAAGATCCAAAGAGAGGCTTGGTTTGATCCGAGCAAGAATGCTTGGGGCATCCAATGCAAGGGGCGATGTGGTTATCGTCTTGGATTCACATTGTGAGGTGAACCAGGGCTGGCTACCCCCATTGTTGGCACCAATTTCAGAAGATGAACATGTTGTAACATGCCCTATCATAGACTTCATTGATCATGATACTTTTCAGTACAAGCCAATGGGTTCCTTTATTCGGGGTACTTTCAATTGGAGATTTGATTATAAGGAAAGAGAATTAACTAAGGAACAAATGAATAGAAGAAAAGATGAGACGGAAGAGGTCTGGTAAGTAGTTTGTCGAAACCCTTGGTAAAAGGACATATGGTTTAATACTATACTCAAACTACATGACTTGTGTTCCCCCATGCACCTGTAAGTTTGGATCCCTAAGGGGCATTCAAAACATAACATGTCAACTATAATAACTCAGCTAGGGCCTATTTTAAGGAAAACACGTTTTCTGATTGCATGGTCGAAGCCCATGTTTGGATCAGGCTTTTTAAACAGAAATTTAAAGGGCCTTTTATTTCACTTATAGAAATGAAACTTACTAGACTGTACCTTAATATTATTCTCATTTTATAAAACAATTACATTGTATTTTAGGTCGCCTGTAATGGCTGGTGGTCTCTTTGCTATAAGTAGACAATTTTTCAATAAACTTGGTCAGTATGACCCAGGCATGGAAGTATGGGGAGGGGAACAATATGAGTTGTCCTTTAAGGTTAGTCCTGTATGCTGTTGGTTCTTATAAATAGTTGCAAAGTTCAGATTAGACTTAATTCTACAACTACCGCTGCCTCTCACTGATCTATCGCGCTTGTGATTGGTTAATCTGATGAGTTACCGCTTTTGATTGGTCCATGTTCCCTTAAAAGTACAGTGGAGTGGCAGTGGAAGTTAAACCTGAACATGAACAAAAATTGCGTAGAGCAACCGCTGACTGGTGCTTTTGGAAATGCGGGCTCAGCAACTAGATTTATAATGTCATAATTTACCCCCCCCCCCCTTACCCCTGACCTGAATCTGAAAGTCCTCAGTCTGAAATTGAACACACATACTACTCGGCACCTAGGTCACAGCAACTTCGCATTATATTTTGTAATGTGTTTTTACTGTAAACCTTATGTTTTAAGATTTGGATGTGTGGTGGCAGGATGGCAAACATGCCGTGCTCAAGGGTCGGCCATGTCTACAGAAGAAACGTGCCATATTCGTACCCCAAATCAAACGCGGTTGTGATCAACTTTCGAAGAGTCGCCGAAGTTTGGATGGACGATTACAAAGAATGGCTGTACGAACGAAGACCCGAGTTGAAGGAAGTTAGGAATTATGGCGACATCAGCGATCGACTTGCGCTTCGGAAGAGACTAAAATGCCACAGTTTCAAGTGGTACATGCAGAACGTTCTGAACGATACCGTCAGGCAAAACTATGAACCACTTCGTGGGTCGGGTTTGGTAAGTTTTTAATTATATTAGGAATCCCAAATTACGTTGGGGGACGGGCCAAAAGAGTACTAAGGATAAACTCTGATAAACAACTTTCCCCTTTTTTAAAAACGCACAGTGGCGGATCCAGGGTAAAACAGAATGAATTACTACATCTCTATAATTTTTCGTCTCATTGGTAGATTTTTATATAAAAATATTCTTAGGAAATCCACAACCAATGGGGTTAATAATAACGCCTCTTTGAATTTAAAATCAAGCCAGTCAATTCAGTAATTAGCCTGACCCTGAATCAACTAACAACACATTAGTTGGGATTAAACTAGATTAATACGAGATGTTCGCTCTACTATTCATTTCTTTGCTAACTTTAACGGCTGGGCGCCATTTTTAAGAATGCATTAGGTGATTCGAGTTAGCGCAACTAATCAACATCGAGAATTTTTTTGTAATCACCTGAGTATGCCATCTGTTAATTCGAATGCCATCTGTTTAGATTCGAAATCCAAATTCCAACTTGTGTCTTGATACAAGAGGAAGGAAACCTGGTTCAGAGATGGGATTATCAACTTGTTTATCGTACAGCTGGTCACAGGTTTGTGAATAGTGATAATCATACTGATACACATCTGAAATTCAATCCAGGAAGAGTTGAGGAAAAAAGGTGTGAACTATGAACTATCTGTCCTCGGGCAGAAGTCGAATGGCGTAGGTTCGAAGACTATACAAACTGACTGACTCTTAACTCTTAAGGATATACTAGCGACAGTTTTTGCGAGTTAGCTCGTAGAAGTTTTGTTTTAATAGTTTGCCAAGCTATTATTATTGTACCAATTTTGATTGTTCTAATTCGGCATTTAGGCAAACATTTTTTAAGCTAAATAAAAGCAATTCTATCATCACAGTTTTAAAATTTGGTTAGTCATCTTTCTTAAGAAATTACGCCATTTTCCATCATAAGGTGTGTTTGCTGTTTTCGAATACGGTAACTGCGCATTCATACAACTCTTTTTACTCAAAATAACTTGCCTAGTAATGTGAAAACAGATCTTAATGTTATCCAAATTGAAGAAAGAATTTTTTGTAATATACCCCCTAACAAGAACCTCCCCAGGAGGAATTATAGGTCCAGTATTCGTTAAGTTCTCTACCTCAAACTGCACGAACAATTCGGCATAGCTATAACTAAACTACACTGCTATAACTAAAGCTATATTCAATTCGCATTGCGCAAACATTTGACCAGGAGCTTGTTTTTTATACATTTTTCAGAAATTTCAGTACAGCTATATTTACGAACTGCGTAATACCGAAGACTGTCTTGATGGCCCTAACTACGAGGCCGGATCCAAGATTTCTCTCTACAGATGTCACGAAATGCAAGGAAACCAAGAATTCCATTATACAGAGGTACGTCTATTATTCCCGTAAAAACCAGGGGCCGGTTGTACGAAAGCTGGATAGCGCTGGATACCGCTGGTTAACGCTGGTTTCTTTAATCGCTCTGAAATTTCGGTGTAACCTTGACCTTACTCGCCAGCAACTAATAATTTGGATAAAATACCGTATGAAGAGTTCAAATTTTAAATTTCCTTTTATATATCACCTTGTATCCAGGTAACTTTATAATCGTATTCAGTTACAATATAGAGATCTGTGCGAAACCTAAGAACCCTCGCGATTGGCTTAATGCGTTTACGTTTTCCAATCAAGCGCCTGGATACGAGGCTGCATAGACAGGGACCTGACTTTGTTGTGTTGAAACCGTTTTCAGCTGGTAATTCAGCTAGGATTACCCAATAGATTCATTATGTGGATCAAATATTTAACAATACGCAAATAGAAAAACTGAAAACTGTATAGCTCGATTAATATCTGAATTTATATCTTGTAACAATTTATTTGCTGAAGTTGATTTAAGTTCAAATAGAAATGTTCAGTCCTATAAACGTTTATTCGTGCAATGTTCAGTCCTCAATAAACGTTTATTCGTGCAATGTTCAGTCCTCAATAAACGTTTATCCGTGTGTTAAACGTTTATTAAAAGTCTTTATTTTACTGAGTCTATCTGTGTGTGTTTTTTCTTATAGTTTTAAACTGTGAGGGTTTTAAACTCTTGAATTTTTCTTCTAGGCAAAGACTATATTACATAAAGTATCCGGCATGTGCGTCTCCGTAGGTGTAAATGGCAATGGTCCTGTTTTAGATAATTGCAATGGTAAACCAGAGCAAATTTGGGAACTAAACCTTGCAAAGTTGAAAAGCTGATAGTTCAAGTCAGTGCGTTAGCGCCTAATTCCACGGGCGCTTTTTCTCGGCGAAATGCGAAATCTTTCACCTGTTTCTTTTGAATTTCGAACACTTAAATAAAATTAATTCTGCTTCACTTTTTACAATTCAAAAGAAGCAGGCGAAATATTTCGCATTTCGCTTGAAAATTTAGCCCGTGGAATTAGGGCTTTAGAATAGGTTAATTTTCAAATTTACAGTTTAGCCTCGAGTAAAATATGACTGGTCTCGATTTTGTGAAGCTCGCAGCAGCCTTCTTGCAGTTGTTTCGATTACGTCTGTATTAGTGCCTTATTTGCATCAATAACTTATCTACCATTTAGATGCACACAGATTTTTTTGGTCTCGATTTTTTAATTAGACGTTGATGATATTTAAAGTGGAAGTCAAGCAAGCCCCTTCTGCGTATGGATTCTGCTCATAACTTTGTGAACAACAACAGAGATCCCCCCCCTGATGTAAGATTGCCCAAATTTCGCATGGTTTGAGTTAGTTCTGAAAATGAGCTCTAGTTCATATTAATTTGGATGCGTGGCGAACCTAAGTACTAAAATAGTGTTAGATATTCACCCAGTCGCAGTGCATCGTTTTAAAAGTATAGAAAAAAAGTTTTAAAGTGCACAATGTAAACTAAAAGTTTGTTTACCTACGAACTTGAAAGATGAGCTAATTGGCTCTATTTTCACATTCCTGGCTCCACATTCAGATTCGAATGTAGAGCCAGACAAGGGATTTTTGCAATCAAACCACGATAACTTCGGAGCCGTTTGAGCTGTCGAAAAAAAAATTAAATGCCATTCTTTATGAGCATTTAATTCGATATACGACTTCCGCTTTAACTACCAACATTTGTCATGAATATGCAGCATAAGTGTATAGCACTTCATGTACGTGTAAACGTATGCTTTGCCCTTGGAGCCTTAGGTAAAAGTCTTTTTAGGTAGGTTTAAAGATTAAATAAATAAAGAGTTTTATACATGCACATTTCATGCACCGGAGAGTATTTTCGAAGGAAAATAGGGTACTTTCTGAACTCTTAAGGCTGCTTTCCACCACGTTTCCACTTACGCGTTTTTTTCACCCAAGAAAAACTCTAAATGCTTCATCTTTTATTTTATAACACTTGGGTCAACAAATTCACACTAAAATATGCGAAAAACTAATTTCTTTCGATTTACTCACCTAGCTTTTTAAAGTATGACATATATAACGATTAAGACTTTTACGTGCGTATGAAAAACGCGTAAGTGGAAAGCAGCCCTTAATTTAAAAAATGTCAATTTTGTATAATATTTAGCAGGATTTTTGTTGTCTGTTGAATCAAAGTCTGTCTTTTTTTTATCGAATCTTAACTTTTTCAATTAATTCAGCCTGAAAACAATTAAAAGAGCTAGAATATATATTTAAATTTGTATGTAATTGGAAATTAATGAATAGAACAACTAATATATGATTACTGTGTATGTAATGTCTCTGACAAAACATAGGAGATTTGACTGCGCTGGTCAGCTGCGCGCTTTTTTTTTAAATAAAAACGAGTTTTCTAGTGCCGTTTTTGGAAACAAAAACAAACACGAAACAATTTTGCCTTGTGGATTTGACATCAACAAATCAGATATGTGGGGGGAAGCCCCAGGCCTAACAGTCTACTATTAGAACAGTGGTGTGAGCGTCACATTTCTGAGTATATTAGTAATTGTCACACAAACGTCATTGAGGGTAGGGCGTCACCGCGCGTTGTGAACGGCCTAGCCATCCCCGAGCCCGCGATTTTCTCTTGCGAGGAAACAAAGGCTCTGAGTTATATTAATCGAAATCAGAATTGTCCTGATTGGCCGTTCACGCCGTATAGAATGCTGTAATACAATACATAGATTTATAGCCAGGAGTTCCGACCTGGTTTGGATTATCCCAGAGCGTTCAGAACTTTTGTTCGTCCCAGTCCTTTCCCGCCATTTTAGATCACCTGGACTGTGTTATGCGCAGATACAATGCAGCAATGATTGTAACGGTTTATATTCCCAGTATAAAGGTTTTCCAAATTTCTTTCGAAGCTTTGCCATTACAGACAAATAGCCGGGGTTATCAACAGACGTCTTGTTCTACAGAATATACTGTGCCTAAAAGACAAGAGAAGCTCTACATATTTCAAGGTAAAATATTAAACTACAGTGTAGAATTCTGCCCAAATTTCGCATACTGCCCAGCTTCGTAAACGGCCATACTGCCAATACAATTGCCGAGATTTTATTTTTATTGTTGTTTACGTTTAAAACTCATTTTGATAATCTCGTATTAGAACTTTCGTTTTGATAATACTTCATAGTTTTTGCCAGTGTTTACCGGCCGTTTTGCTCCCAGTGGGAGGGGGGTGAGGTTGTGCATGCCTCATTGAGAAGAGGGGGTGCAGGTTTGGTGTAAATTTAAACATCATCTCAGATTTAAGAATTCTGTACAAAAATGAGTTTCTAATTACAATTATTTTGTTGTATTGAAAGTTCAGGTTCTTATCTGAGGCTGTATAACAATCTAAGTTGCATGTTGTTGTAATAGTCAAACAAATAGACATTCTAACACCCTTTACATACTACACACCACACAAGTATGACTGGCAACTTGCCTGTGCTCCTAAACATCCAAAATTTTCAGTGTCTACTGAAATGAAAGTTAGATTGAAAAGAAAGGATCCTATTTTAAAATTTTATCAGGTTATGCATATCAAAGAAGTCTCTCCTTTGTTATAATTTGGTAGAACACTCCCAATTTAGAATGTTTCCATGCAGTATAATCATACTCCTATTTCCACATTGCACAACATTTCATATCTCAAGGCTAGCTGCAAGTTCTTTTGACCTCTTCTGACCTCAGTATGTAGATATAGTCTTAGAGTAAGATTAAAAATGCATTGTTCGGAACTGCATATAAGGAATTTATTTTATATATTTAGTGATAGACTGAGATACTAAAAATACTTAAAATACATTCATGCAGGATCCCCTCACCAAAGCAAGCAAACAATTATCTTGAGGTGGCAAACTTAACCCAAGTAGACCCCCCCCTCTGACATCATAGGTAGCACTGTCAGGGCTTCCACAATGCAAGGAAATTTCCTTGCAATTGGTAATCACAAGGGAGGGAGGGATCTGCTTTAATACCTAATATATTATCATTCTTTTCAATTTTTTTTTTTTTATCATTGGCACCCCCCCCCCCACCCCCCTCCCTATGAGGGCAGTCATATGCAAATAAGTTGTGGAAGCCTTGAACACTGTAGAGCACCAGAAGTTACGTTAGTTTCCACGCATCCAAACTGTTCGTATCGACGTATTACCTGTTCGTCCTTAACCCTTGCGCGCGCATCTACACGGGGGGGGGGCATTTCTTGAGGTGTGCACAACGAATTAGTGTAAACCTTTGAGAAAAACGGACTCAAACATAACTTGGCGGTCATTTTGAAACGTACTCTGTTGCAATGCCACCGTTTATGACACACGCCCGACATTCAGACTAGTATGTTGTGATAAGGTTTGCAACTTAATTTTATTATGGATCAGCTTACTCAAAACTATCGACGAAAAACATCAAAAATGTAAAAAAAAACACAAAAGACATCTGACTGAAAGCTTTGATATGTTTATTTCCTAGCCCGTGCATTTTTTGGTGGAAAACAACTCAGGAAATAAATTTTGCTAAATTTTCCGCGTTTTGATAAAATGTGACGATGTGGAATACGATTTGCCTCTACTGGTTTCACTTCAAATGGCGAAGCAGTGATTTCATTGGTTTAAAAAAAAAGCGGGAATTTGAGCAAACGAGGTACGTAAGGTAATCTTGGACGGTTTTCTTTTGGGAATATAGTGCATACAATCAGCAGAGGAAAACGCGATATCTGAGACTGCGCGCGCACATGCGTATTTTACTAGGGTGCCGTCCAGACTGGGTAGTATTCAGAATACAACACTGTCACAATGCCCTGTTGTAATTCAATTCTCGACGGAATTTGTACCCTCGGGTATTATGGTATAATAAAATATACCTGAGAAATACATTCAGCGCATTCATTCAGAATCCTCTCCCTAGTCCTAAAGAAGGAATTGTAATTGTGAAATGCGGTTCAGTCCAGGAATACAACTGACAAATGAGTCAGTTTTGGTTCATTTATACTTATTCCATTTTTCCATTTAAAAGTGAGAAACAAAGACCTTCACTATAGCCAAGAAGCGTCCAAACGTTTCAAATTCTATATTATAAGTTGAAAGTGATACATATATTATGATTTTCACCCACCGTGACAAGAATGCGCGTGTCATTTGTCATGACAATTGCACTAAATGAAGTGCAATTGTTAAAAGTCACTTGAAAAAGCGAGGTTATGAAGATGTTTTGTTGTGGAAATCTATCATGGAAATTTCTGAATATATTGGTATCTTTGAGATTTGGCATTTCAAAGGTCCAAGTGCTTGACTCTTAGACAAAAATTCCTACCTTATGAGGTTTTTGTATGGTTTTTGTTATTCTGTATGAAACTGAACCGGAAAGTCAAGTCACTATATTGGTCACTCAGTTTTAAAGTCAAGTACACTATTTCGTGAAAGAGAACAAGATATTTGTAATATTTTAAAGAATACTTTCTAAAATAATTGCGTTCTATTAAATGACGTTCAGCAATAATACTTTAGCAATACGAGTCATGAAACGCATTACAAGTGATTAGTACAGTATATAAAAAGTGTCTCTACAACTTAAAAAAACACACAAACTCCAATTAATAATACCAGGCATGACAACAGCCAACATATTTCTAACACAAGTATTTTACTTTTTTATTCAATTAATTTTGCCACCATTTCACAACGTATAAAGTCTACACGCGCTTCACAAAATAACACGACAAATTTTTGGAGTGACACAGCAACAGCTAATTAGTAGTTGTGGGCCCAAGTTGAGTTCAAGGTGTATATTTATACAAATATTATCTACGCAAGTCAGATTAATCAGATATATACGAATTTAAGATATTTTGTATTTATGGTTAACGTTTAAACTGTACTTGTCTAGTATAACAGTTTGAAACACAATGTGCATGCTTTTATTATTTGGCAATCCACATTGAAAGTAGAACTGCGACAAACAAAATGTTTGAAAGCATCAGACTGGATGAACCACCAATATCTTCATCAGCATCTTCACCATCACGGTTTGGCGTATGTGTACCAAGAGATTTTCTTGGACCTGGTTTCTGTTCGTGACGTGTGAAAGTATTCTCGCCATAGTATGTCGAACGCCAGACATCATTGCAGTTGTCAACTTTACTCCTTAGTAACCAGTTCATTTGAAGCATTGCCGTGTTGTTTGTACAAAAATGACATTCTCCCACCCAGCCCGTTACTGATGCACCGCTTCTCCAAATAACAACCAATGAAAATGTTGTATTGGGTTTTCCATATGTACCAAAGCCATACACGAGCGAGTGGCTCTTACCAGCACTACCTTTTTTTCGTTCAACTGCAGTTCGAAATTCACCTTTTATTATCCCATTCTCTGTTTGGTTCAAAATAATCTCAGAGCCAAGATCATTATACCAAGTACCATTCAGGTTGCACTTTCGTCCTGTAAATTCCCCAGGTGTTGACTTTGAATTTTCTTTGGAAGTTCTCACTGATGTAGGTTTTCGTTCAAAGACATCTTTCCCTATTTAATAAAAAGAACATTGTGAATGGTCAGTATATGGTAATATTCTACAGCATGCCTAGTATGAAAGTTGAACATCACCATAAACCAACCTATTTGTGTCGACTTCCACTTGTCAATACAAGAATGAACATAAGATTTCAAGAGCCAAGATGTCTCTAATGATTCTTTGCCATCACACATCAAACATTGACCAGTCCACACCGTTGTTGAACTGCCATTTTGCCAGTTGACGGAGAATGCAAAAGAAGCTCCTGGCTTGTTGTATGGTAATGTTCCTACAAAAAATGACAAATATAATCCATATTGATTATCTGTTTCAAGAACCGTATATAGATCGAAATTGAAGTTGCACTCGAGATGCAGCCACTCTAGAAGGTGGATGAAAATAGTCATGCTTATTCACATGCAGATTTGCCGCGATTTAAAGTTTGGGGTTTTTTTTGTGGTGAAATCCTACTTATGAAGCTCGATATCTTGGCGGGATATTTTGTCTTGCCATGCTATGCGAATTAGCAATAGACGCTATAGAATAATGTCAGATTTCGTCGTAATACATGATTTAGTAGATTTAAATCATCGCTATAGTGGTATATCATTAATATTCAAGATGGCGGCTTTGAATGAAAAAATCAAAATATCGTCACTCTTGAAAGAATAGAATTAAACAAAGTAAACCCTCGGGGCCACGCCCTGTATTCAAAACGCAATCAATTTTTATTTGCTTTTGAATTTGAAACATTTTTAAATGTTTAAAATAAGATAGCACATAACTACGGATTTCATTGTATTATACGCATCCGTGAGTTTAATTTCAATTTCATATGCACTCTTGCGTTCCGCATAATTTAATCAAATTCTAACAATATGTGATTTCAATAGTTGGTTTGAATAACCAGCAACATTCCGTCATAATCAAATTCATTTTAATGTAATATATCTAGTTTGTTAGTTATTAAGTTCATAAAAGATACTGTATGAGTGACTGCATGCTAATCAGTTAAGCGTCAGGACAAGTGCCGAGTGCGAGACAGAACGAACAGTTGATTTGGAAATAGTTGTAGTAGACAAAGTCCTACGGGGATCCACCCTTCAAGTACTGAACTTTATCTGTTTGCATGTATGTTTGTAGTTTGATTAGTATTTTTGTTTATGTTTAAGTTTAGTTTGATTCATAGTATGAACTAAGAAAATAATTGGAATGCATGTATTTTTATATATTTTACTTATAAGTTAAACTTAATCTTTTCTATAGAATATATTACCAATAAATATTAAAGAAATTCCCGTTCGACTTGCGTTTAAAGTAGCAGTGCCAAACAATAGTTTCAGTTTTTTGCGACACCAGCTTAGTCAAATGGTCCCTAAAATATGGTCGTCTCCCACATAATTACTACGCATTTCAACTCTCCAAGGAAACAATGAATGCATTAGATTAAATATTCATTCACTTGTCTCTTGGACACCTTCACCACTTACAACAGCTATGCGGAAATATAAATATAAAAGCATCAGTTTTTTATATAATGAGAATCTGTTATATTCTGCTTTGAAAACGGAAGAAACGACGTCCAAAACTCTCATGGGAAACTAAATATTTATTCTACTTATTACAAAGCTGCTTTTCACTTTACGGTCAGTCGTGTAATAAACAAGCGCGCCTTATTGACATTTGAACTGACGTGTGTTTCATATCAAGCACAATATTGTAATTGGGTTGCTATGCTTCTAAATGTGTGCGATCTGAAATCCATGTTCAGATAAGTCGAGACATTGGGATTTGAGCATTATCTTTGTGTAGGCGCTTCCTTCCCACTGATATATAAGCAGAAGCGCGTTGTACAGCGGCTAGTTGTAATCGCTCTTCACTGGCCATGGGCGTTTCTCATGCGTGCGTGCACGCACGAAAGAGTTGTATAACCTTAAGTTGTAACCTTCTCAACGGAATTTTAGTATAATCATCAAGGCATTCGTAGTTTTGTATGGTTTGGAGACGTTTAAACACATTTTACAGGAATTCAGGCATGGATCCTAAGATCTAGTCCTCCTTGGATCTCTATAATAGTTAACATGTTTTAATATAAAGTTTGGAGAAGATTCTTATTAATGAGAGAAGGGACTGAAAATTCTATATTAATGATGGAACTTACCAACTATTTCATGAGCACCAGAGTCACCACGCGACGAATCGGTTGGTTTGTAATATTTTCCACTCAAAACCCCGTTTGCTGAATGTGTAATCTCTAACTTTGCTCCTAACTTGCTCATCCAATTACCGCCTATGTCTTCGCATGGTCCAGCTAGCGCAACATAAGGAGTTACATGTAAAAGAAAGTGGAGAAGTAACACGTTTGATAGCATAATGCTCTCAATATTCTTCAAACTTGTTTGACGGTTTAACAGAAATTATGATGGGCGGCTCGTCGACATACGATTTTATACCGAGTCGACTCGATACCTGGCCTTACAGCATTACCGGAAGTAAATATCCACTATATAGCACGAGCGAGGCACTGGTCAGGAGGAAGACCTTGCTGCATATTACAATGTGGATATGATCACTTGAAATAAAATTTTAAATTGCAAGCCAGTGGCTATAGCAAGAAAGGGGGATTTCGGCGCAATTGTTCCAACCAGGCAGGAATCATGATTTACGTGCGCAGGAATCATTAGCGTGCAAGTAGGCAAAAATCATTGACATTGATATGTACATGTAAGATGTATGGATTGGAAATGTCGATCATGTGAACAGGGATCATCAATCATGTGGACAGTAGGTCACGTGTGGAATGTGTGTTAAGAGTGTCAAGTGTCGGTTGGAATGTAAATCAAAGGGTATGTTTTTTACAGCGTGTTTCTTGTTTTATTTAAAAGCGTGTTTCTTGTTTACAAAATTAGCGTCTTCTCCAATGTACGTCTCGTCCGGTGAAAAAACGCAATTAGTACCAAGTCACAGCACCTCGCAGTCAAACACGAAAAAAGCCATCTTTGAAGCCCGAAAAGTACCAGAAGATCAACTTTTCGCCTTATCAAATATATTGCAAATGTTCTTAAAATCGTCTAATCTATCTAAGTAGGTTATTTCCCTGAGGTTGATATAAGCACTTTAATGGTTTCCGTGTTTGCATGGCCTGAATGTTGCGAGAGTTAAGAAAAGCGCGCGAAATACCCAGGTGTTTGGATCAGGCCATCCAATCACGGTACACCATTAAGTAATTATCTTATAAAATAAAACAACAAGGTAGTCTTCCAAGTTTGATTTCCATCAGCGAATTAAATTCTGATTTGTCGATACTTCGACCAATCAGAATACACGATATGTACATGTTATTTTATAAAATATCTACCATGCATTTTTTCTGAAGTTTGGATATTTTATTCGTGCTCACTAGGCTTTCTTGCGTTTCCTCAAAAGTTGTGTTATTTACGCATTTTTTCTTCAGTATTCGACGAATTTGAGACTTCTGAGTTGAAGTGGTCGGGACAACGTCTTGGAAATCCATTTCTTCACTGTCCGGGTTTCGCTAAGACATTTATTTTTTCTTGTTCTTGGTTGTAATGGACAGCATTCTTTCCGTTCGTTCCCTTAGAACTGACTATGCAAATGCCTTGTTGTGAAAATACAGCATCAATAGGCTCCAACTCACATTATATACCATTGTATGAACCGTACTACATGCACCTAAAGCACGCAGAATTGTATGATAAGTTGTATTTATGGTAAGTGATATAGTGTATTGAATGATAAAAGCAGTAGCCTCGGCCCACAACATGAATATATGGCTGCCGTTATTATGCAAAAAATATATCGTGTCGTATACGTGTATAAACTGTTACATCATTGCCTATAATGGCAACTCATTGTTAAACATTTGGCTGAATAGAAGAACTCTTTATCGACACATGTAAGACACAGTGAACATAGTGCTATCACTTGTGGAGCTTGAGCGTGGGCGATATCTTGCATTAAGGCCCATTTACACTATGCGATTTGTCGTATACAATTCGTACCCTGGCGTATGTGAACGTATGAACACTCGTACAAACGTGACACTTTAAATTCCAACCTGAATAAAATTGAATGAAGATTGGAGCATAGGCACTCTTTTACATTCGTCAAAATGATAATTGCACACAACTTATCGTGTAGTCTAAATAGGCCTTTAAGAAATTTGTTTTGTGGTTGTGTATTCCTCATTTACATCCCAAACGTGGCCCCTTCAAATTGATTGGCATCCCACATGGGAACCTCAAGTGCTCAATGCACACGGCAAAACCCCCTTCACCTATAAATTTGACGGGAAACAACTACGGACACTTATTCAAACAATTGTATGCTAATATCTTCCAAAGCCATGAAGTAGTGGTCACAGTCATGACAGAAATTGTCCTAAATAAAAAAATTAACGAAATCCAGGCAAAAAACAACAGATTGGGAAAGATAGGTTTGTGGGAGGCTAACATGCACTGAAGCTTTAAAAATTGTTATATGTCAATGTCAAGTCCGTATCTAAACAAACGGTTTGTTTACATTTTAAATTTGTATACTTTTTGAAGTACGAGGTGCTGTTTGAATATCTAACAAATTTAGGTTTGCTGTGCCTTTAAATGAATATGAACTACTGATTTTGATGAGAAAAATTCGAAAAATGCGAAGTTTGGGCAAAATCTCTTCTAAAAACTTGTTATGAATAGAACCTATACGCCGAACACACTTGACTTCCACTTAGAGCATGCTGAACCAAGACTATTCTAACAACTTTAGGCTGTCGAGGACTATTACAAGCTACAGTCTCCTCTAATAGCCTAAATAATTTTATGAATTTCGCAACAAATAGTCCATAACAAAATTGCACAGCAATTACGACATAAGGAACCCCTGTCTTTTAATTGTTTACGGAATACAATTTATTAAGTTTATTTCTGAAAGTTGCATAATTGTTCATCACTGTCTGGTTACGATTGAGTAATATTTATGCAAAATTATATTACTGCTAGTTTGCAAATCAAGGTAGTAAATCGAAATAGTGAGTACTCAGGTAGACCTATGTGTATATTTTCTATTTATGAATGAAGGAAGTAAAAGTTAAGTCATTTACAAGGTTCAGATCTCCACCATCCCACGATTTGGCGTATTTGTACCAAGCGCCTTTCTTGGTCCTGGCTTTTGTTCGTGACGTGTGAAAGTATTCTCACCATACCTTGTCGACTTCCATTCATCATTGCAGTTGTCAACTTTACTTCTTAGCAACCAGTTCATTTGAAGGCTTGCAGCGTTGTTCGTACAAAGATTACATTCTCCCACCCAGCCTGCTACTGATGCACCGTCTCTCCAAACAATAACCAATGAAAATGTTGTGTTGGGTCGTCGATATACGCCAGAGCCGTACACAAGCGCGTGGGTCTCACCAGCGCTGCCTTTTTTCACTTCAACTGCAGTTCGAAATTCTCCTGTTATTATTCCGCTTTTTGATTGCTGCAAAATAATTTCGGAGCCAAAATCATTATACCAGGTACCATTCAGGTTGCACGTTTGTCCTGCGAATTCTTCTGGTGCTGTTTTTAAATCTCCTTTAGGAATATTTACTGATGTAGATTTTCGTTCGAAGACATCTTTTCCTGTTCATAAACAAATATGGTAATATTATACAGTATGCCGTCATGGTTTGGCCTCGTATTAACATTAAACAAGCACCATAAACCCACCTATTTGTGTCGACTTCCACTTGTCGATACAAGAATGAACATAAGATTTCATAAGCCAAGATGTCTCTAATGATTCTTTGCCATTGCACATCAAACATTGACCAGTCCACACCGTTGTTGAACTGCCATCTTGCAAGTTGACAGAAAATCCAAAAGAGGATCCAGACTTGTTGTATGGTAGTGTTCCTAGAGAGATGAAATTCAAATAAAAACCATATTGATTATTTGGGTCTTTTCTTACCTATACGAACAGCTATTGGTTGATGATAATCGTGATGACAGTAAATCACGTTAAACTATTTTTAAAAGAACGAATCATAAACACTGTTGACTATCGTTACAAAAGCCAATCGCAAAACTCGATCATTTTGGTAGTACTTACTGCCATATACAAAATAAAACAGATTCCGAAGATAGATATCTTGTGTTCTTGATGAAACACGAGTGTAAATGCAGAGACAGTGCACTTTGAAGATGTTGCAAAAGAATAAATACGATATACGCTAGCCAATAAAATATTTACATTTATGTTTCGTCTATGAAATGAATTTTAGTAATTGGTACTTTCAACCACGTAGATTTTAAATTTGATGATATAAAATTCTAATTTTCAATCTAAACTGTAGTATGTTGGCAAGTTATGGTCCAGAGACTTGCCATTCCCAGTCTTCTCGTGCAGACTCTCTGATTCTCAGTATATATAATTATAAACTGTACGACGATGAAATAAATGAAAAGACCCGACGAAGTTCTTCTAGAGAGCTGACTCTGGCTAGCCTGCTTGCAGTCTCTACAGAAATGATTTCCTGTTTACAAGAAATTATTCCTGTAGAGACTGCACGCAGGCTACAACACAAAGGTCAATAGTGCTTTCGATTATCATACCAGGTTATGTTATTTAAAATGCAGTGAGATTTCTATTGATGATGAAGTTAAAATTTTCCTGGTCAGATCTGGTCTCGCGCAGAGTAGAGTGCATCGGCGTAATACAGTTGCAAAATGTGACAAAATTGATGTAAAAACTACCATAAAATTACTTAGTCAAGTAAGCCATGGTTGTTTTTTCAATTCTCTCTGGCCAGACCAATGATGAATATAGCCTGGCCTTGACAATATTCATCATTGGTTAATATTATGCTAAAATGTATATAGACTAAAAGAGCTCTATAAGTTTACTTTTGATTCGATTCCCCCACTGGTTTAATGCAGTTTAATATATTATAAGTCACTCAATGAACCTTTAAATGTCTTAGAGCTGCGGCGTAATATAATCTATATAGCTTATATTATTATGACATGCAATCCGAAAAAAGTTTTTTGAAGGCCAGCGAAGGCCTTTCAACAGTTGTCCTCTATAGACTTCCAGATAGACTTTCGCCCTCAGTAGGAATATAATTCACCTAACTTCGTTATATATACACAGTTGTAGGTATATGGTATCTTGCTCATGTATGCAAGACAGAGATTATCGCATCAAATGCGTTCTGTTCCTTACTTTAACAGGAAGTAATATGACGCCTTTCAGACGCGCGCAGACAGAACTATAAATATTTTGAAGCCAAAAAGCCAAAAATTGCATGTTTAACCCTCGATAACTTCTGCTGAATTCATTTTTGGAGCTTGCGCTTTTTTAAACTCGTCTTATGTGCGCTGAGCACTACAAGATTTTGAAATGAAAATGTTTATTTCAGAGGCATTTTAAACATAAAGTAGCCTTCTGTTGTCGTCGCAATATACAGAATAGCGCTAGCTTATATAGGCGTCCAAATATACACGCAATTTGACGTCGTAAATTATGAGATCTCTATTGAAGATTTTACAACATTAAGTTTATAGAAGGCGCATAGCCAAGAAAAGGGACTGATAATACAATTTTAGGTAACACAACCTACCAACTATATCATAACCACGAAGTTTGTCATGAGATGAACTTGCTGCTGGGTAATATTTTCCAATCAAAACTCCGTTTGCCGAATGATCTATTTCCAACACTGCTCCCAATTTGCTGACCCAACGACCGCTAATGTCTTCGCACGGCGCAGCCAGCGCAACATAAGCAGTTACGTACAAAAGCAAGTTGAAAAATAACACGTTTCGCAGCATGATCATTACAGTATACTTCAAAATTGTGGGATTCTACAACAGAAACGATTGGCGATTCGACGATGTACGATTTTATACCGAGTCATACCGAATAATCAATACTCCTAGATACCAGGCCACTACCGAAGGGAACTCTCTAAAGCTGAAACTACGTAATTTAATTCCTCTGTATACAGAACGCGCATATATATAATTTCACCTTGACCCAGTGACTTATCAGCATTTTATTGCTGTTATTAGGTGAACAAAAACATCTGGTTCTTGTATTTTAGATGAAGTATACGTGTATTTTAGATGAAGTAACAAATTTCAAATGTATGCTCTAAAGGTTTAGTCATGGACAGGGCCATAGCTAGAAGCTTAATTAGGGGGATGCGTATTCATATATTCGTTTTTTGCCCGAATGATTTCTTTTGTATGCTATTGTTCCTATGGTATGTAAACATGAATATATGAATATACACCCCCCCCCCCCAATTAAGTGGTCTAGCTACGGCTCTGGTCAACCGTTAAACCGTGGTGCAAACCTAAAAATTCGAAACCAAATAGGCCTTTCTCTCAGAAATTTTCTCACAATAACCCTGAAAGCCAAATGTTACATGAAGTTTTGTTGGTCCACGAAAGTAACGCGCCAATGAAACCGCGTGTAACATCAGTCTTTCCGCTTTAGGCGTCATCATGAGAAAAGCCTGTTGAAGTTCATGAGTATTCATCGTTGGAATAATGTTAAACAAACATTCAACTTAAGTTGGGTCGCTTTTAAATGATGGCAATATACTTTGATTACCTGCTTCCAATTCAAAATCTTTTCAACACAAGTACTCATGCTTGTTTTGAATACTTTAAGAAAGAATCAAAGGGGAAGAAGTGAGAAACTACGTTTGATGGATTTTATTCCAAATGCAATAACCAAGGTGTTTAGGTAATCGAAGAGTATTCAGGCTATAATTTATACACTTTGAACTGAATTGTCCAATAGAAAGAGATGTCAATTGATGTAACACAATTTTGAGACATTTGACACTTGAGGCGAGAAATAATGAGTGGTAAAACCATAGGTAGCCCAACACTCGTGTTCCGCGCGCGTACACGCTACTCAGTGATTAGCATATATTAATTTATCCTAAGGTTGGCAACTTTATCACCAATTATCAATAATATATCACATACATACATGTCAAACTTCGATAAAAACTGAAAAACTACCACAAAATACTGCAAAATTAATAAATATAAATGAACTTGGATATATTTTCTAAATTTCCGACATAATTTTTAGCTTCAAAATGTATTGAGAAATACGGAAATTTGTTCATTTAAAATAAAGTTTTTGAAAATATATTGTTGAAATTTTCTTGTCGATAGGCGGGATCCAATTTACTCTACATTACGTCACCCTCGGAGATATCCGGAGTCAATCCTGTTGGCTGCTCCCTCATGGAGCAATCTTCGGAATTTTTTTTCGACTTTTCAGCGGCCAATAGGATAAATAGGATTGACTCGGGATTTCTCCGAAGGTGACTTAATGTAGAGTAAATTGGATCCCGCCTATCGACAAGAAAATTTCAACAATATATTTTCAAAAACTTTATTTTAAATGAACAAATTTCCGTATTTCCCAATACATTTTGAAGCTAAAAACTATGTCGGAATTTAGAAAATACATCCAAGTTCATTTATATTTATTAGTTTTGCAGTATTTTGTAGTAGTTTTTCAGCTTTTACCGAGGTTTGACATGTATGTATGTGATATATTATTGATAATTGGTGATAAAGTTGCCAACCTTAGGATAAATTAATATATGCTAATCACTGAGTAGCGTGTACACGCGCGGAACACGAGTGTTGGGCTACCTATGGTAAAACGAGCTCGCGCGTAGGGCGAGTTTTTCCCCATTATTTCGAGTTCGCCCAATAACTGTGTAGAAACACAGCAAAAAAATTTTCTATATCCGTGTTTCTGTTTACAGTTATAGTAACACGCTTCTCGACCAATCAGCACGCGCGTACAAAAAATGTTACATTGATGAACTGGGTATTTTACTTTCCTGTTTCTTTCTGACAAGATTAAAATATAATTTTTAAACAGGCAACATTAATTTTTAATACATTCAAATTAAATAACATCAGACTAATTAGGACAGAATAAAGTTTTACATAACTGACATCACATGAAATGAAATACACGTTTTAGTATCAAGAAAGTACTTCTTTGGTTAACTAAAAAAATAATCCTTTAGTGAGTCGTACCAGGATCTTTTCCTCTATTTCCCTAAAAGATAATTAGTTGAAACATTAATTGAAACTAGTGGCATACTTTTATCATATATATTCATTATATACTTAGTATAAATATATACATATATATATATATATATTAATATATATATATAATTATATTATACTTATATAAATATACTATATATATATATATTATATTATATATATATTAATATATATTATATAATACATATATATATATATATATATATATATAATATATATATATATATATATATATATACACCCGTTTGCAAAAACGTTGGCCGCAGATAGATATGTAGATAGATACTCCAAATCTAATTAGCATTGCATATGTTGGGTAATATGATTGAAATCCCATGCAAATGTAATCATATGCAATTCTAATTAGACTTCGAATATCTATCTATCTATCTTTCTGCGGCCAACGTTTTTGCAAATGGGTGTATATATATATATATATATATATATATATTAATATATATATATATATATATATATATATATATACATATAGGAAATTGAAGATCCTGGTACGCAAAAACGTAGGTTCGATTCCTGCCAGAGGACTGATAGTTCACTTATTTTTCCATCAGCTGTTTCTGGCCTGAATTTGAAGTGTGTGTAATTCCACTCGAAATAAATAGACCACTCCCTTTTGCACTAAATTTTAATGGCTATATTTTCCACGTTTTTCCACTTTTTTACCAATTTTGAATGCTCTTTCATTTGTGAAGCCTATTACCAATAAATTTTCCTGGTTTTCAACACATTATACCTGGAGGATGGAAGCACAAGTTCACACCATTGATTCTGTCATCCCAACAACAGCCTTTCTTCGCACATTCGTCTGCTCTAATTCCAGAATGACCACAAATTTCTCTAGAAAGCGGATGCACGGTAGAGCAGCCGGGACCTAGAGAATTTAATAAGTTTTACAAAACGGCAAAGCGACAAACGCCCTAAATGTTATATTTTACACGTTTTTACTATTTGTTTCAACTATGGAATAAAGTACTACATTTAATATTAATCCTTTCTTGAACGAAAAATGAAACGATGTTATACGCTTGATTGCTTGGTAAAAAGTAGACGCAATATTCAATTCAATATTATTCTGGGTAAAAAAGGTTATCAAAATCTGTAATTTCTACATTTACCTTTATAAATTCAGTAGTGAAAAATAGTTGACTTTTAACATACATAATGTAGCAAAATGTTAATAATAAAGAATCGAATTTCTTTTTTGTTTTAGAAATCTTCTCGGAGTAGATAAGACTAAAACTATTCGTCAACGGTTCGTTAACATTTTAAACTTCTATACTCGTTGTCTTAATATCTAGCAAAATTTAGGTTCGTTATGCCTTTGAATGAATATGAGCTAGTGATTTTCATAGAAAAAAATTCGAAACGTTCGAAATTTGGAAAAAAATTTTTATCCGAAGACCTCACATTGTTATAATCAGAACCGATTTGACTTCCACTTATTATAGATTAGTGAAATGAGAAATGAAATTTCGGAGGATAAAAGAATAAAACCCTAACGTCTATGTTACATATCACACTGCACTGCGACGAATCGTGACGTGAAAATTCCGTGAAATTGATATTTTGCACGAAAGTAAAAGAATAGGAAATTATACAAATCGAAGCAATGGAACTATAAAGCAACAGAATTCGCCAATTAATGCGCTTTTTTTGGGGGGGGGGGGAAATTCTGACAAAGTTTATTATACCTGTAGGGTAGAAACACGATAGTACATCTTTGATACTGTCATCCCAGCAGCAACCTTTACTGGCACATTCCTGTGCTTTAATTCCAGGATAGCCACAATCAACTCTAGTTAGCGGATGCACGCTAGGGCAGGCAGGATCTAAAATGTATTGATCAGTCAGAAGGATGAATTTCGTCTTAACGTCTTCTTTCGTCTTGTTTACATCTCTCAGGCAAATCCAATCAGAATGCCTACATTTTAATACTTCATGTAAATGGCAAATAATGTTCCTTTTTACCAGAGGTAGTCAAAATTATAGTGCATTTTGATTGGGTTACTGGAAATGTACACAAACTTGCTGATTGGTCTAAAACGAGATTCCCCCTGTTTTAATCAGTGCTATTTAACTTAAGATCGCGTCTACCTATATGTGTAAGGTTTTAAAGCTTTCTTGGTTCAGAAAAGAATACAGGAAAAAATCCTATTCACGATCAGCAAATAGTGTTTTAAAACGTTATAGTGGCAATGAAAATTTTCTTTGAAACTGAAAAAAGCTTTTTAGAAGAATCTTTGACGGCTAATTTATTCTACATTCACTGGTACATGTTTTTAGGGTTATTTTCTGTTCTTTTCTCCCAATTTTGCTATACTTACTCGTATGTTGAAAGAGAAGAAATTATAGGTTAAATCATGTGTTGTATAGTCTTCCATGTGCAAGGCTGAAAAGGAGGGTAAATTTAATTGTTTCCTCAAACTGCGAATGTACCCTATGGTTTATATATGGTTTATAGAAATCGTAGAACATTTGTTATATATATATATATATATATATATATATATATATATATATATATATATATATATATATATACTATATATATATATATATATTATATATATTATAATATACATATATATTATATATATATAATAATATATATATATATAATATATATAAAAATGTAAAATTATTATAAATTCTATATGATAGAAGTTACGTTTATTAGTAATATGATTGTTTCATGCAAGACCCCACTGACATTATTAAAAGACTTTAGGTGACAGCAGCCAATGAGAATTCGCAATTACTTCAGATGAAAAACGCATATTACCTGCAGGGTAAAAGCACATCATTACATTTCGGATACTGTCATCCCAACAACAGCCTTTACTTTCACATTCCTTCGCTCCAATTCCATGATAACCACAATCAACTCTAGATAGTGGATGTACGCCAGAACAGATAGCACCTGAAATTTATTAATAAGAATTTCAACTTAAGAGTGTCTAGCTGTTGTCAATGGTATATTATTATTAGCATGCTAAAGTTACTGGATTTGATTGGTCGAGGAAGTCCATTTATTTAATTAATTGTACTGCAGTACAATATAATGATTTTGCTAAAGTATACAAAATTGCGGGGCGGGGACAGTGTCTCACGTTTTGTTGCTAATAAAATATTAGCGAAATTAATATTAATTTAATATTAGCGAAATTTAGCAAACACGACGTGACGTCTAAAGGTATGGCGTAAGCACAACTATTCAGTGAACTCAAATAAGACTGGAACGCTCAATCTGTCAGAAGTTTGAAACCAAGATGGCGGAGAAGCCTTTCTTGTAGGTATGATCCAGGCCTCTTTCAGGATTTTCCTTTGAAATTTCCGCGCCAGAGGTCTGGGTCATACCTACAAGAAGGGCTTCATGATCCGCCATCTTGGCTTCATTCATTGATGAGGGAAAGTCAGAGAATGAGCGTTCCAGTCTTATTTGAGTTCACTGCAACTTTTTTGCTCTCGAAGATTAGCTACAAAGCGTGAGAATATAGAATTCAAACCAAAAGAGTTCTGGAAACAAGGCGTGAAATTTCTTGTTTTCCGGAAAGAATGACCCAGCAACTGCACAAACTAAAACCCTTTTTGCACCCGGCGTATTTAATTTTATTGGTGTTCAGGCTACCAATAAAAAGGCTAAGCATGCGGATGAAATGGTAAGGTATCCCATTTTAGCCATTCCGTGCCAATATATTGGATGACTCCAGTGTAAACGGATTAAATTACTAAATATTATTAATTAAATTATTACTTATTACTTGTCTCAGCATTGTTCGCGCATCGCGCGTTTCTTCTTTAGTGCCGAAATGTAATCAGAATAAAATTTTCGTACGGAGACTGTCCATGTTAAATTGTCAATGTTTACGCGTGTAAACTGATAAATTAAATCTTTAACATACGATTGCGGAGTAAAGGCAGACCCTTATAATCTTTACCGTGCCTTATGACTCGCTAATTTAATAATCATGCACCATGTAGCGCTTTCATAATATAAGCTTAGAAAATATTCACCCATTCTTCGAACGTGAATTCTAGCCATTAAAAACTGCACGCAGTCTGAACGTTTTCAGACAATACAATAAGATTTTATGAACAAGTCTGCACAGTCGCATAGTCTCGCATAAAAATATTAACACAAACCATGGAAATATTTAAACCAGAAATATCACACTGCTGCTTACCATCCGTTTCCTTAGTACCAGCATTTACCTGTCGGATGCTTGTCAAAACACCACAAAAAGCAGCGGCGACCACGAATATCTTGAGCATCTGGGACGATTTTTTGTTAAACTTTCGCGATTTTTGTTATAATAATCAAAATCAGACTTGACCCGAGCGTAGATCGTGAAATTTAATACTCTTTAACTAGCTCATGTGATTAGCTAAGTACGGAAATGCAGTCGAATTTACACAATTAATCAATTTCATTCAGATCGACTTCATACTAATACAATTTATGGAATATGCTGTGCAATCTAGCCTCCTCCGCAGGCATCTCTTATGCATTTATATTAGGCATTTATATTTGGCCTGGGTTAGCTGTGTCAGGGAGTGAGAAAAAAAAATTACGTGAGATCTCTCCCACTTTTTTCCTCGCCTTCCCCGACACAGCTAACCCAGGCCAAATATAAATGCCTAATATAAATGCATAAGAGATGCCTGCGGAGGAGGCTATGTGCAATCTCAGCACGATGACTGTTCAGAGCGCGTTACCGCGTACTGGTATCGGCCGTATCGCAGGCTCGATTTCGAGCATGCGCAGTAGTGTCAATAAAATCTCAGCACTGTGACAATCTCAGACCGCCAAACCGGTCAGCCGATTTTTAAATATTTTGTTTTATCTATTCTAGGTCGGTGTAATTTGAGCCTAGAATTTGCACTCGGTGTGCGTCAAAACTCAAAGATAAATGCAGGTATGTGCGCAATATCACCCGCATATAAAGGGGGCTTTTAATATGATTCAGCCGAATACCACATATTCTCTTGTGTACGTGTGCTCACTTTTTTCAGCATTGAAATACGGTCTCTTTCAAGTTAACTTTTTAGAGGAGAAGTCTCATTTGGCGTTGCACAATGTAAAAGTCAGTTTTAAGTTGGGGCAAAACTTGATGCGCCTTATTAATTGTTTCGCCACAATTTTGGACATTGCAAAGAAAGTCAAACGATGCATTTACTCGTGCAACTTGTTTCGCAATGTTTTTACGAGTCAAGTTGCATAAATTAAAAAATTGTACCATGTAAAGGCCGATTTCCAATCAGTGCAAAATATCATGCGATCGACATTTTATCGTGCGATTCAACTTAGGCTACGTTCAGAATGAGTGCACGTCACTTTTATGGCGCCCGCATGAGATGAATATGACGCTTCCAAAAAAAATTTGGCATGGTGTCTAAGAACGGTCACTACCTCGAGTATAGACGTTGCACAGGCTTAGAAGTTGCAGCTAGTTTACCAAAGAAAATTTTATGATTAACGAAGAAATTTTAATAGAATCGAAGTAACATTAAACTAATTTAATATGACAGAATAAAACTTCACAGTATAAACCTTGAACTAGCATCATGCATATCATCAGTATATAATCAAATACACGCTTGAATAATTAGGAAATTTCTATATCCATGGCAAAACAAACAATCCTTAAAATCGTGTCAGAATCTTAAATCTTTTTTTCATGATTCTAAAAAATAAATATAAGTAGGCTTTTTAAGTTCAGCATTCATCATCAAGTTGCATAGTTTGAGTTTTACTGACATCACAAGGGCATTAAAAACCCATAAAACAAAATATGAATTTATATTGATTACTTTCGTAGAAACCACACCTGTATTTGTTATATATGCACTTCACCCGTTCCGCATGTTCTAAATCACATATATTGAGAATTCTAAGTTTTAGAACATCGGATATATGTGACATGGGATGATCATCTGAGCCATCTAACGCGTTCGCTGTTTGCTGTACTGGGAACGAGTTATTTGTTATTATTGTGTATTATAAATTCTAAATAGAAGTTCGCCAAAATGGCGGATTCTTGCAAGCGTTTTAAGGCATGCAAAATTCGCGTTAATACGCAGTCAACAAAGGGAAAAAAAACTACAAGACATGTGCGTTTAAATTCAAAGAACTATTGCAAGATTTCTCAGGAGTCAAGTTCGAGTAAGCAGAAGTCTTTCACAACGGGAATGGAAGAAGAACATGTTTATGGTTCAAATATCGACGATATAAATAGCAGCCATGAAAGTGATGACCAAGCTTTTTCTAGTCTTTCACGATATCACTTGCGCCGGGTGAAAGAGTATCACAGTTGGGAAGATGTGAGGGGTCTCTTTTGCAAGCACGCATTGAGGAAGAAGCTTTTTGTGACGAAAGTATAATGTGCATCGAGTGCCATAACAACTTCGCTGTTTGTCGCTGCGTGGATTGTGGTCCTAGACAGTTTTTTGCATCAACTGCGCGAAAACTATCCACGAACGACGCAACGTCTTCCCTACTTGAAATTTTCAAGGTGCGTGTGATGTCTTTGGCGTAAAATATAAACATATTTCAATATCTTTTTATGTATATTACATATTCAGAACTGACCTACCCAGACCCTGTTTGAAAATTAATGTTGCTTATTTTTTCAGGATGGTTGTTTTGTTCCTTTATTTGTTAATCATGGTGTTTTGACTCTGATCACCAAAGAAATTGTCCAACTGCACAGCACAAAACATTATTGTATTGATGAAAAGGTACTGTGTGGCCTTCATTTTATTTTGCATCTCCCTCAGGAGTCAGAGGTGGTTTATTGGTACTGTGGATTTGATAACTGTATTCAAGTTTGTTTTCAGTCCTAAAATAATTTTGAGAAAAGTTCTGTAAGTTTCTCCTATGGTGCATTTTTATTAGGGCATCAACACTTGAAATGGATCAACTTTTGTAACTGTGAAGATGCTGCAGTTACACTTGTAAAGTTCCAATTATGGCCAGGATCAGCTGTTAGACCTCAGGTTGCATTTCATTTTAAGTTGGTTACACTTGCTGAGACACTTCTATTGGAATGCCATGTATCGTTAAAGAAATTTTGTGATGTGTTGGGCCTCAATAAGTCCAATATGCTTCCTGTTTGGGTATGTTATTTTGTGTACATTTGAAGCTGAGTAATTCCATGCTATTTCAACATCATTCAGAACAAATTCTTGACACCTAACCTCTCCAAATACTTTATGTTTATATATTTTCTAAATAGACAATTCTTGATTAAAATATAATAATAATATTGAGCATACTGCATACCAAGTATAAATTATTATATACTGTGTAATATTTATCTGTGTGAAAATGACATGGGATTAACTATAAAAACTCTAAATGCTCTCAATGACAATAACTTGACTGTTTTATTAACACTTTGATGCTTGGAATCTCCATTGGACAAGTAAAATCATATAGGGTTAGCCAGAGTAAAATACTAGAGTCATGCCATGGGCATTAAATAGATAAAGAAAATAACTATAATTTATTACATATTATTGATTCCAGCTTTCATGAGATATTTCAATTTGTTTGATGTATAAGACATTAAATTATATTTGCCTACTAATTATGATGTTAGTTTGGTTGCCAGCTAACTAGTATACAGTAACTATAAAGTCTACAAAGTGCAGATACTCATGTTCCGGGCGAAGTTTAAAATTTCATAATTAGTGGACGTGCAAATATACACTTATTTACATATCACACAAATTGGAATGTCTCGTTAGCAAACCATGAAATGAAGTGAGAAACTAGAAAATAAGTTATATATACATGTAAAACATATTAAAGATTTCTTTTGTGTTATAAAATAATCAATGTTATGTCATATATGGTACACTTTAATTATATACCATAGATAAATAAATTTATTCATACATTATATATATTTTTTGGTTTTCTAAGGTTAAGAATCTCTATAAAATATTGAATGATGATTCTTTTGATGAATTTAGGTAGGGGCGTATTTTGGTTAACTGCATGACACAGTACTGCTCTTGTCAAATATTTTATTTTATTGTTTTTGCAACTTTTTATGATAAATTTTAAACTTCAATTTTATATATATATATTTACATTACCAACAATAATATTTTATTTATGTAGATATCACCAACATTTGTTCAAAACAATGAAACAATTTGTCTTGCAACAAAAACCTGACAATGTTTGCCCGTTATGTCCTTTGCAGGTATAGAACTCCACAGGTATTTTTTCTTTTATGTCACATTCTCCTTTTTGTATTTAACATATTGTGATAATTTTGTAGAGTGAAACTGATACTGACAAGAATGTTGCCATTGAGTGCATGGATGGATGTTTTGGGCTTGTGAGAAAAAAGTCTGCTGGTGCGAATCTTTTACCTGCCAGACACAATGGTACATTTTTTGCCAATCAGGATGATGTCGATAGCTTTGTTGATGACAACTCAAAGAAGGCAAAGCAAGCCCCTACTGTAAGTAGTTACTGGTGATTGTACTGTAAAAAGTAGTTTTGGTGAATATTATCATTATTATAGAAGAATCCACTGTTTTCCTAGGATTGCAATGAATTTAAATCTGGTGAGGTTAGTAACATGTTACGATCCAAAGGAAGAAATAAGCTTTTTGACGAGAAGGGAGTGTTTGGTAGAGTATGCAGACATGAATACCCAAGGGGATTTATGAGTATCAAACATGGAGAAAGGTGAGCAAACAGTCATCAAATTAAAGTGCAAGTGTACATGTTGATAGTAATTTAGTGCAACATACTGTATATTTTAGGATAGCTTATTCAGTGTATGAGGTTAAAAAGCTTCTGTGTCATTATGATGAGGATACTGATGTTAAAATAATGTATGACATTGCATGTACTTTGTCTGCCCACCTAAAGGTAAGGTATAGGCGTAGCTGCCTGATTACAGCTCAAATTCTAAGAAGAAGTAAAGTTCTGTCATTTGGAGATGTAATCTCATGTGCAATTTTACATGTATTGAATATTTATTATATATGAATTTCCATTTGCATATATATTTTATTTTTGATAGAAAAACGAAGAGCATACCATTCTTGGACGCATTGACTTGGCAATTCCTGTTTTCCATGCATATGGACATAAATCTTCTTGCCAGGTCAATATATGGTTTAGAAGTTGTCGGTTTTGTTATCAAAAATTTAATTGTCATTCTTAGGTGCAGTCATGCAGTATGTCGCATGTTGTTATTTATCTCAGAATTGTCCCGAAATGTAGGTTGCTTTTGGTCCTAGAAGAAAGGAGGGATTTGGCCTTACTGACGGTGAAGGAATTGAAAGACTTTGGTCTTACCTCAGAGGATTTTCATCAATGACGAAGGAAATGACAGCTGGTCGAAGGGTTGACGTATTGACAGATGCGCTTCTTCACCATGCAAGACATCGTCTTCTACAGTTTGGCTAGTTGAATATTTCTGCCTTGGTGGATTTATGCCACCAATATCATTACAGTATTGGTAATCTTTTTGCGACTATATATTTGTAATTCAATGCTTGATTTTTCCCCACAGGTCCGGCATTGTTGTCTAAAATGCAAAAAACAAAGAAACTAATGGAAAACTCAGTAGTACAGTTGGAGGAGATCTTTTCAGATTTAAAAGGTAGAACATCTTATCTAACATTTGATAGTATTAAACAGTTATTGGATGAGGCTTTTGTATATGCGGAAAATTTCAATGTAAGTGTTAGTATCATAGTGCTGTCATAGGTCGAATTACGTTATAATAGAAAGGTCTTTCAATTTCAGTTTCCTATGGTACTGATGTAATTAACTCTTGGATGAAAGCAGAAGAGAATATGTTGTTAACGAGAGGCAGTATGTACCAATTATAACGTAAGGAAATACCGTGTTCATTTGTAACAAGACGTGTAATATTATCATAAACTGTTGATGTTCTAGAGAGAAAACCATCGCCCATGTCGTGGGAGGCTAAATACGTACAGAACTTAGTTTTCTTGCAGGAACTGAGGTTAGACTGATAATGATATATTTTGTGCATTTCCTGGCTGATTGTTCATTTATTTTTAATTAACAAAATATTTTCTAATACTTATAATGGTATGCTACAGACAAGGCATTGCTTCAACAGAAGCTGAAAATCATGAAACCATAAACGAGCTTGTAAAGAGGAAGAAAGCGTAAGTATTGGAACTAGCGACCGAATAGAATTGTTTTTGGTGTTAAAAGTCATATATACCTTTATGTAACTTCAGGATTTTAAAAATTGTCATGGGAATTGAAAAAAGCTACAAGGTTCACCCAAGATGGAGAATGGGCGAGGAGAAATTCAACGTGGCAGCATTGTCTGTTCTTCGGGATAGGCGAAACCAGGCATTAGAAAAATTATACTCACTTGCAGTCGAACGTATGTTCTTATTAAATTTGAAGCGAAAATATGCAGGTATTTTTTTTTGCTAACTCAAATTGTGATCGTTTGATGATCCAAGAATTATGCTTGGTTGTTTAGTTTAGGTTGGCACCATATAATTATCAATTAAGCGGACTAGTGATTCATAAACTGCCTTTTATTCAAAATGAAGGCAAAACAAAATAATGTAAACATTAAAAAGGCTTGCGTCGCGTAGACGCGTACGACCCCTTTAGTAGTCATATGTTATAATGGAAGTTAAGTTCGTATGCTAATACTGCAATGGTAAAACTGTTTTAAGTTTTCAACATGTTTATTCACGGTGTGCCGTATCCTATGAATCGACATTACTTTCATTTGTAATGATGAGCTTTAAATGGGAATTCCCACTCTAAGTTTGACATGACTCATTCGTTTGTGTTTTTTTATCGATTAATAGACGGCCAAGCAATTGCAGAGAAAGTTTCTAAGCAGATAACACAAAGGACGAATTCTGCTAAAGTAGTTGTTGAAAAGTACAACGCTAGCCTTGCTGCTTGGAAAGACAATGTAACTGGGTTGCCAGAAGAGCTAGAGTTTGACAAGGTAAAAGATCCAGAATCCGACCTATATAAGGATTTCAGAGAAAGCACTTTGAGTGAGGATCAAGTTCCATATTCTGTGAAGAAAAGCGCAATAGATTTGCATAATTTCATCCAAAGATGCAAGGAGGAAACAAGTTATTTGGAAACTGAAATGTGTAGGCTTGTTACGTATCACCAAACCCAAAAGTCAAGTTTTTTAGAATGGCTGAAGGACAACAATGACTCGTCATCAACCGTACTCATTCGAGGAATTCGGTGCATACTTCAAAGAAAGATTCTGGAAGAGGAAAACAAACTAATTGTTCTTGGTGCAACGTTTGGCAATCACCTACCAGATAATGTATCATCGTCCATTCCAAAAATCGAATGGAGTCATGAAAGCACCATGCCCTCTACCAAACACGTTTTCGAGAACTTGGATCAACTAGATGACCAAAAGGAACAGAGTGAAGAACAGGACGATGAGATATTGTCAATTTTAGACAGTTCAGATGACGAGGTTGAAGATGAATCTGAAATGGATTTCTAAATCAATGCGAAGCTCTCTGTATCATTTTGCATGATGTTTGATGTACATAATAGGTTTTTTAATTATATATCTTGTCTATACAATCTGATTTATTTTTGGTGCACAAACATAGTCTCCGTCTAATGTGTGGAAACATGCATGTTTTAATTTATTAAAAGAAAAATTAAAAAATTATATAACAACAAATATTAAATTAAATTATTTATTTAAAACAATTGAAATAATTTGTCCCTCGCATATTACGCTTTAGTATAAATTTCCAGGTGACTATTGATTTTTCCTGCATCCTCATTGCTTAAAATTCACTGTGTTTGAAGTGATAGTCTCTTGTTGGTGAATATAGCTCTGTTGTTTTTTAAATAAGAAATTTGAATAATATTCTTGTATGTTTGCTTGGTGACATCAATAATTAAATTAGCTTGTGTAAGTGCGCCACCTAAGTATTTTTAAAATACAGCAAGTTTAATGCAGTGTTAAATACTTACGTGGGGTACCTACAAGTTAAATTAATTAAGAAATTTGAAGGAATTATTATGTTGATTCAACTGTGTATCATCTTTTGTGATACGAATAATTGTGCAAAGTTTTAAGCAGTAATTCTTCGTGAAGTTTGAGTTCAATCACGCATGATCTGCTCTGACACCCTATATTAATTACACCCCTAAGTTAGAAAAGCTAAGCCTATTCTTTCATCGCGCACTTCCATTCTCTCAATTGATCTGAAATTTTAACTGTGTATAATTTTTTGTGATACAAATAGTTGTGCAAAGTTTCAAGCAGTAATTCCTTCGTGAAGTTATAATTCAAGCACGCATGATCTGCTCTGACACCCTATATTAATTACACCCCTAAGTTAGAAAAGCTGAGCCTATTCTTTCATCGCGCACTTCCATTCTCTCAATTGAGCTGAAATTTTAACTGTGTAGAATTTTGTGTGATACAAATAGTTGTGCAAAGTTTCAAGCAGTAATTCCTTCGTGAAGTTAGAATTCAAGCACGCATGATCTGCTCTGACACCCTATAATTGCACCTAAGTTAGAAAAGCTAAGCCTATTTTTTCATCGTACACTTCTAATCTCTCAATTGATCTGAAATTTTAACTGTGTATCATCTTCTGTGATACGAATAATTGTGCAAAGTTTCAAACAGTAATTCCTTCGTGAAGTTAGAATTCAAGCACGCATGATCTGCTCTGACACCCTATAATTGCACCTAAGTTAGAAAAGCTAAGCCTATTTTTCATCGCACTTCCATCTCTCAATTGAGCTGAAATTTTAACTGTGTATCATTTTTGTGATACGAATAATTGTGCAAAGTTTCAAGCAGTAATTCCTTCGTGAAGTTTGAATTCAATCACGCATGATCTGCTCTGACACCTTATAATTACACTAAGTTAGAAAAGCTAAGCCTATTTTTTCATCGTACACTTCCAATCTCTCAATTGATCTGAAATTCAAACTGTGTATCATCTTCTGTGATACGAATAATTGTGCAAAGTTTCAAACAGTAATTCCTTCGTGAAGTTAGAATTCAAGCACGCATGATCTGCTCTGACACCCTATATTAATTACACCCCTAAGTTAGAAAAGCTGAGCCTATTCTTTCATCGCGCACTTCCATTCTCTCAATTGAGCTGAAATTTTAACTGTGTATCATCTTCTGTGATACAAATAGTTGTGCAAAGTTTCAAGCAGTAATTCCTTCGTGAAGTTTGAATTCTATCACGCATGATCTGCTCTGACACCCTATAATTACACCTAAGTTAGAAAAGCTAAGCCTATTTTTTCATCGTACACTTCCAATCTCTCAATTGATCTGAAATTCAAACTGTGTATCATCTTCTGTGATACGAATAATTGTGCAAAGTTTCAAACAGTAATTCCTTCGTGAAGTTAGAATTCAAGCACGCATGATCTGCTATGACACCCTATATTAATTACACCCCTAAGTTAGAAAAGCTGAGCCTATTCTTTCATCGCGCACTTCCAATCGCTCAATTGAGCTGAAATTTTAACTGTGTATCATCTTCTGTGATACAAATAGTTGTGCAAAGTTTCAAGCAGTAATTCCTTCGTGAAGTTTGAATTCTATCACGCATGATCTGCTCTGACACCCTATAGTTACACCTAAGTTAGAAAAGCTAAGCCTATTTTTTCATCGTACAATTCCAATCTCTCAATTGATCTGAAATTTTAACTGTGTATCATCTTTTATGATACGAATAATTGTGCAAAGTTTTAAGCAGTAATTCCTTCGTGAAGTTTGAATTCAATCACGCATGATCTGCTCTGACACCCTATATTAATTACACCCCTAAGTTAGAAAAGCTGAGCCTATTCTTTCATCGCCCACTTCCAATCTCTCAATTGATCTGAAATTTTAACTCTGTACAGTAATTGAACATCATTATGAGATGGTTTTGCACAAATAAAGAACTAAGGCAAAGAACTGTGAGTTATTGAGAAATTCATGATGATTGGACGTGAACTAGAAGAGACTTTTTGAAAGAGCATCCCCCTAAGAACAAGATAAGCAGGGATTGGGGGCCGTTCCTGGGTAAGAACCTATTTTAGATGGATATAAACATCGTAGTGTAACATGAGATCTGTTCTAATTTGAAACTAAAGGGGCCTTTTCAAACCATGCATGTACACCTTTCATAGTTGGTAACGGAAAATGCGACTACCAGGATTCCATTAGACTGCAGTTGTTGGTTTGGTCCGGTTTGCACATAAATTAATACATTCTAACAGCCGAAAGAAATAGCGGGCAATGTGATAGAATTTTTGTCGGAAACTTTTTGAGGTAACAGCTTTCAAATAGATAAGGCAAAATAATTTGATGACTTCACATTTCAAAAATACGCTCTATTGCAGGTGAACTTTTAATTAAATGCATGTCATTATGCATGTGTCCAGATGACTGATGATGACAAGGTCAAGGTGCGTTGACGAATCATTACAAACACAAATGCAAATGTAACGTAATAAGCCTTTAATAGAGTGAATGAACGCGGTCAGATATAGTTTCAATGCAACAATGACTATTAAAACTTATTCACACATATCCATAATTTCCAAACACGCAATGACTCTATCATGGAATGATTGGCACACAACAACTTGACTCCTTCTCTTTAGAACGATCTTTCGTCTGAGAAGAATTGGTTCAGATGAACCATTTTTGGACGCTAATGATGTTAATGGCATTGATTGACATTTTCTTATTTGAAAATATTAACTCATACTGCCATTGCTCTTTTGTCTGATTCAACCAGTAGCCCCAAACTTCGGCATTTGGTTCCAGACTTAGCAAATTGGATATTTTTCCAGGATAATAGAACAGCCAGTACGGTTTATCCGACTCGGTATAGACTGGTATTATGTAACCCTCATGGTTACAAGCACTTTCATAGTTTCCTTTCAGGGAATTCCAGCCATCTTCAGTGAAGTACTTTCGAAACTTGGTAGTGAGATGTTGAAATTCTTGTTCGGTAATTTGCAAATCCTTAACCTCCAAATCTTTTTCTTCTATTGAATACTTGCCAGAAACGACTTCAGGTATCAGTTCCTTCTCAATAATTTTAGAAAGCAAGTTCTGAATGTCTGAAGGTACAGATGTACTAGCCAGTGGGTCATGGGTTAGTTTTGAATCGTTTATGTTTCGTTCTCGTGTGATGTGAAAGATAATTTCTTCCGCATTCATCATTACTTTCTTTATCTGATCACTTCCATAATTGAGCGGCTTCTTAAAATAATTCCTTCAGGCAGTCCAGTAACTGTAAAACCACCTTTTTTGTAAGGAACTCTACTGCCAGGAATCCCACATGCTTCACCTAAAGTAAAATAAGAGACGGAATGTTTTGTAAGTCTTTCCGATTATTGCAATCTGTTAACAAGTTGATGATGTACATGTATGTACCTGACAGATTTACCTGTATAATGTAACCGACAGGTTAAATTACATCATAAATTTACAAAAGGCTATTTTTACAATTAAAAAATATTAATCTATCATTATATAAAGTTATTAAAAGTGTAAAAAGTTCAGAAACTACCAAAGTCAAATAGGCCTAGAAATTCAAATCGATTGTTTACAGTTTTCCTTAAAATAATTATTTTGTATAGTTTTTAGTTCTAGTTTATTTAATTCTTCCATAGTTTCTTTCTACTTCTAATTATGTAACTAATGTCTTGTTATTGTAAGGACGTGCTAGTGCGAGAAAGGGTTTTGTAAGTTTCTCTATCAAGTGAATATTTAAAATGGTTAGTTTAGGTGACTCGACAGCTTACAATTTTCGATTTTTAAAACGCATAGCACTATATTTTAATATTTGTTTTGGTGACAAAAACGTCTCAAGTTTAGCTGTGAAGGAGCAAAGATGACCACAATCCACCGCAATCATTCCATATAATGGATATTAATAATACCAATTGTACCAATGTACTTTCAACCATTGGATAAGTTCATGTGATGTAAATTCAAAGTGTGTGAGTTATTTTGCAGTGAAAGAAATCATCACAATATAATGTACAATCATTGAAAAATTTCGCTGTAATGTTCAACAAAAGTGCTTGTAATTTACAGCATATAAAATAACTTTGCCGACAGTATTGCTGCTCAAATAACCCCCCTCCCCCAAATCAATGTTGAATTGTTATGTTGAAGCCTTAGCGCATCTTGCCTGCGAGATACTCTAGCATTTTCATCCAGGCAACATTGATTTGGAAGTGTTGGTGAGGGAGGGGTGTGGAAAGGGTGTGGTTGAGGGAGGGGGGGGGGGGGGGCGACGGCTCGTCACAATATTTTTGTCAATGATTGTATTTACTAATCCATTATGACCAAACAAAAGTCCCTTAAACATATAAATTATAAATTAGCTATATTTTAGTTCATCAATACAAAATAAATAATTAAAAGCCATGTTAAGATATCAATCTACAAGCAGTACACACGTGTAGGCAATCCTCTCTCACACAAGCGATCATTATTTTGGAAATAAGTGTGGTTTATACAAAACACTTACTATATTTCTCGTTGAACAGATTCTG